TGCCATTTGAAAAGTTCGACTTACGGGTGGGGCACCCCCCGCCCCGCGCCCCTCCCGCGGTTTGGGAAAATGTCGAATACGCCAAAAGGTGTCCCCCTCGATATAAACGAACACGTCTTTTACCGTTTTTCGAAATTCCGACGCGTTCGGCAGATATTCAAGGTGGCTCGTTTTTCGTGAGACACCCTGGATATTTTCAGCTATCAGAAAAGCTCAAGAAAACGTAATTTGGACGCATTGTGGGCTAATTATGACCAAAATCCGGTTTCTAATCTAACAGACCTCGTATGCCAATTAAAGCGCAAGGTGGAGGAAACCAAGGGTGTCCCTACCGCGGTGGATAACGTCAAAACCCCGACTTTTCAAAGGGCAATGACTGAGTTAATATTGAACGAAGAAAGTTGCTGTTTGGACAGAGATTATTTTTAGCTAATCCACAACAATCAAGCACAGGGTGTCTACTAAAACAAGTAAATAAAAAGAAAGTACGATAAAAAATAAGTACTTTTACAGTACTTTTTCAGTGCATTCTCGAGAAATTTAGTACCTCCTCCATCAGAAAAAATCCGTACTTTTTCAGTGCCTCCATTTGACGAAAGTAGAAAAATTTCAAAAATTTGAAATTGCGACAAAAATGACAAAAAATTTAAAAAAAAAAATTCCGGACCTTTTTGCAGACTTTCCGCACTTTTTCAGTACTTCCGGACCGCCCTTAAAAAATCAGAACTATTTCCGGACTAGTAGACAACCTGCAGCATCAAAACACGATTCTGAGACCAGCGCAACTGACCCATTCCATTCCTCGATTTTGAACAGTGTATAGCACAGCGCGGCCGAGTTCAAGCGGTCAGTGATCAAAAGCAATATTAATTTTGACCGCACGACCAGACGCCGAGAAGTGAAAGGAAGTGACGTCATAGTATAACTCACCGGAGAGGACGGTCATGAGGGCAAGGGCGGAGATGGCACCGGCGAAAACGGTGATTCTGGGATGGCGCATGGCCATGATGGCGGCGATGAAGAAGGTCTTGTCGCCGATCTCCGAGACTAGGATCACAGACAGCGAGGCGATGAACGCGTGCACGAACCCCAGGTTTGCCGCCACCGGGTTTTTCTCCGTCGTCCCCGCCGCATGACTCTGTAAAAAAATACCAAAATTATATCATATTAGTACATACAAAATTACGAACTATCCACAATCACACGCTGAATGTGGGGGCTGAATGTGGCTTGAATGTGGAAGTCATCGGCCCGATGCCTGAATTTTGCGCGTGATGCGCAACATTCAGCAACGATTCTCAGCAACCATCCGACCAATTTTGAATTTGTCTGAACTATTCGAGTAGATTTGATACACATCTGGATGAAAATAACTCGAATTTGCTAAATTTCAGCCGTTGGGCGATGACTGTTGACTTCCACATTCAGGTGCTAAATTCAGCGTCTGATTGCGGCAAAACTCCGAAAATCCATCAGGCTTCATCGATGCCTCCGCGAATAAAGTTAGGGCCCAGAAATGCAGCCAACCTATGAATTTCAATTATCCAGAGCGATTTATTAATACAATTGATACGAACAATCGTTTAAAAAGCACGTATTTGACTTAGTTTTTGCATATTTACGCATTTTTGCGGAAGAAGGCTCATTTATGTACATCCTTAGCCATGTTAGTTAGAATTGGAATCTGCAGACTGGCAGTGAAATTTTGTGCGTTAGAAGTTGGTTAGAAGGGTGGCTGCACTTTTGGGCCCTATGCCCTCCATGAAGCGATCTGTCCATACTCTCGCTATACAGGTACTCCATCCACTACATGAGGTACTTCCATATCGAAGAGGCAGAGGTGCGAATTGGACCGCGTTCACTGGAGAAGAACCAAGCCACATCAGCTATCACCAAATTTAACTAGGCAATTTAATTTTTTACAAGAGAACGTTAGTGCGGATTCCTTTTAAAATGTTAAGGAATTTTCTTCGTTCTATGAAGAACATTCATTAAAATTTGCACAAAAATTCGCACAACCGGTTTCATGTAAAAAGTTAAATTGTCTGATTGAATTTGGAAATAGCTGATGTAACATGGTTCCTTTCTGCTTAACACGGTCCAACTGGCCTCGAATTGTGTTCGAAGATTCTCAGATTTTCAACTCTGGAATGATGCGACTTTGACGCGAAATTATCGAAAAATTTAACAAAATGTTGATCAGAACGTTGCATTGATCTTCCTGCGAAAACTTAGCACATCGCAGAAAATTACAGAAGCCCTCTGGAAAATCGCGGAGGCCTAGAACCAGGGGTACCACAAAATCCAAAAAATGAAATTCCCTAACATTTCCCTGACACATCTGAGTAAAATTTTCTGAAAATTGAGGATATGCCATTAGGCCAAAAAGACCCGATTTGAAATAGTTTGCAGGCTAAATTTGTTGTTCTAGACGTCAAATCCAGTCTAGAAAGCGAATAAAGGTAAATTAACAATTTTTCCCTGAAACTTTCGACATTTTCTCTGACATTTCCGGGTCCTCCCTGACTTTTCAAAATTCCCTGACATTCCCCGGTTTTCCCGGTAATACCAACTGTGGCAACCGTGTAGAATAATGTGCAATCCTGCATGAATTTTGTTACGAAAATTTCTTCAATGAAAAAAAGTCAGATCTTACTTTCCAAATAATCCCTTGCGCTTGAATTTTGCTAGCAACAGTCAAGAATCGTGGGCTTGCTATACTAAGGCCGTGCCTCCACGGGACTTTTCATGATATTTGTCCCGGGGAAAAACTTCACTTGCGAAGTTGGGGAAAATATTAAGTAAGAGTCATTGTGGAGTCCCAGGAACGACTTAAAAAGAAGAAGAGGAAATTGTGTTGCGTTGTTTACCGGGGAAAAAGCCCAAAAGTTTCATTCCCACGATTCGAACTAGGGGGAAAATCCCGTGAAACGTCCCGGGGAGACAAAGCGTAAAGGGCCTGGCACCGAGGAAACCTAGACACTCCGACCTTTCGCACACAGGGAACGAATCGAACAGACCTTGATCCAACTAACGCTTTCGCCGGTTCAAAACTGGCAAACTGATGCCGTGTATATTTTGACAAAGGAAAAAAAAATCAATCGCTCGACAATGAATCTATACTCCAATCTTTCCTCTCCTTTCACTTTTCACAGAGTTGCCACAGAATTTAGAAAATGAAATTTCAATGAAATTTCCTGACACATTTCGATGAAATTTCCTGACAACTGAAGATACGACAGGTGGTTAAGAAGACATCATTAATTGAAAATAGGTTTCAGGCATTCATTGTCCGAAACATCGAACTCCTTCTGGAAAGCAAATAAACTAAGCGATTATTTAACAAATTCCCTGACTTTAAAATTCCCTAACATTTCCCGGCAAACCCGGAACCGGCAGGGAATCCTCGCATTTTCCTGTTTTCTTTCTTTCTTTTTTTTTCTGAAAAGACAGAAAACGGGATAGAAGGAAGGCGCAACTGAGATATAGTCATTAATCATTCGAGGGTTTGAAACCAGGGTGTCTAGTTTTTTTTTTTCATTTTGAGAAATCCTGATGAAAACATGATTTTTTCCTAATTTATGACAGCAAAATCCTGATTTCATCATTTTTCCAAACCCAGACCAAATCCTGATTTTTTGCGGAGACAAATTAGGCGAATTTACATTCGCAAAAATAGCTCGATAAATAACCCGATCGGACGGCCGACTTTTCTCAAATCCCGATTTTACGACCGATTTTTCCTCAAATCCTGATGAAATCGGGATTAAATCCTGATTGACCTCAAATCCTGACAGAATCGGGGAAATCCTGACGCTAGACACCCTGGCTCTGAGAGCATGGAAACGTGCGGATAAAAAAAACTGGAAACTGAACAAAATTGGATTCATTACTGACAACGGTGCTAAAAATTTCCCGTTTTAAACTCAGCACGACGACAAACTGTCGAAGGAACAGTTTCGTTACAATTTGCTCTGATTTTTTTTTAAAAAGCATTCCGGAAACTTTCTTGAAAAACTACGGGTAGCTTTTTAAAAAAATTGATTGGAAAGTTAACATGAGTAGAAGTGTGCGGCGTTGCAATCGGCTGTAAATACGCTTTTCTTCGCAGCAGCAATCAAATCGAAGCGATATACTGTTGAAGGCGCTATGAGCAACTATACCGCTACAGAAGTATTGCACAGTATCAGACCTAAATGAAGGGGCACTTAAGTTTGTAACGTGACTGGTATCGTTTACCACCGTGTTGAGTCCTACCTATCCTAAAATATCCGACTCCTGTTCAATCGCGATCTTCGCAGAACTTGGTAGCAGATGACATATTTTGAGGCAAAACTTAAATTTTAACTCAAATTTTAAAAATTCTAAAATCCAAGATGGTGGATAATTTTAAAAATTCTAAAATCCAAGATGGTGGATAGTATGCCTTGTCGGCTCCTGTTCGATTGAGTTTCGTGCAACTTGGTGTCATCAGGAATTTTATGACGTAGAAGTCCAATTTTGAGTCCAATTTTCAAAAATCCAAGATAGCGGAGGAGGCCTAAAATGTTACCTTTTCGCCATCGAAATCATTCAACTTAGCTATCAAACCCATTCTTTTTCTGTTCAGTTTTAAAATCTATGTACTCGCAGATACTTTAGATCTAGATATCGGCGCGCCCTTCGACTTTTTTGTACTGGAACTGCTTCTCTATTTATTCATGTCCTTTTTTTGCTATTCCTATCTTTTTTATTTTCTCATTCGACCATCCGGAGGAATATAATCAAAGTTCATAATCTTTAAATTTTAGTCGCAGAAGCGCAAGGCGTGCTAACTGTGGTCAGTTTGAATCGGCGCTTTTCAACACTTCGTATTCCGTTTACTTCAAAGGCTATGATTTTTGGATCAGATTTTGTCCGTTTGAGGGCTCTTACTTATACTTTTTCTCCCGTTGTAACGAAAGCCTACAAATAGATCTGAACGAAACAGCAAAACAATATTTCTCATCAAGTCTCGGAAAAAACACGGCAGACTGTAACGCGTTCATCTCGGTTAAACCACATAAAATATGCAGTGAAAAATTTGCAACATCGCAAATTGAGGTGTGAATGTTTTTACCTCATCGTCGGCGTTGAGAAAATGTGTAACTGCTCACGCGCTAGGGTGGAATTTCGGGGACAATCGTGATCTTCTGTCATCAAGTCGAAGCTGTACTGTCGAAGGCGCTCTGAGCAACTACTCAGCCTCGGAAGACAGCCTCACAGTATCAGACGGAAATGAAGGCGCACTAACAAGTTTATCTTGACGGGTATCGTTAATCACAGTGCGGAGTCCTCCTATGCCGTACTAAGGAAAAACGCTGTATGAACCTTCAGGCGTTGCCAAATTTCCTTTGATAACACACGAATTCCCTGGTAAACATATGAACATTTTCCTTCAAATTATTCAGATAAATTTGTTCGCATTTTCACCTGAAGTTCCTGAAAATTCCAAGAAAAAATATTCATGGCTTGCCTCAAAAATAGAAAGTTTGTCGAAGGAAATTTGGCAACTGTCGAATGTTCATACGGCGTTTTTCCTTAGCACGGCCTGCACAGCAGTACTGATCCTACGATATGCGACTGACGTTCAATCGATTTTTGTGAAACTTGGCACCAGGTGCGAATAGGTCATAATTTCAAATAGCTTTTCTTCTAATCTCTCATAGCTATACGTTTTTGAACTTTAAATAGCAGAAACTACGGGTTGGATTGACATTTTTTTATTGGCATATAATGTCCCGAAATACTCATACGTTGAGCATTTTCCTAAGCTCCAGTTCCCGTTTTGAGTTTTCGTGGGCTGAAATCCCATGGATAAGTTTTGTGGACGCAATTTTTCCCTGAGCTCACGTATACAATGGTTGCCAAATTCTGACCATAAAGATAAAATTGGGAGCGTATTTTTGTCTCTGAATCAGCTATTTAACCAATGGAGAATGGAGATGTTGCATGCGTGAGGAATTGGCGATTTGACTGTTGATTCTTATGTAAAAGTTCGCGAGAAACACGATGGTGCCACTGGTTTTTTTCTGAAATCAACTCCCAAGCTCAAAAAAACTCTCAAGTTGAGGCCAAAATGGAGGGGATATCCCACCCTACCCTGAGAGTCCACGTCTACATCAAGACAAACTCTCCATGCAAAGATAGGGAGCAAATACATTAGCAGTGATGCCATGTTTTCAGCTTAAGAGTCCCCAAATAAAGTGGCGGCCCTGTCAATGTATTTGCTCCCTATCTTCGCATGGAGAGTTTGTCTTGATGTACAGGTGGACTTTTAGGATAGCGTGGGATATCCTCGGCCATTTTTGCCTCAACTTGAGAGCTTTATTTGAGCTTGGGAGATGATTTCAGAGAAAACCAGTGGCACCATCGTGTTTCTCGCAAACTTTTACACAAGAATCAAGAGTCAAATCGCAAATTTCTCACACATGCAACATCTCCATTACTGCGTGCCAAAAAGTTATTGCTTCATCTGAGAGCGCTTGATGAACTAAGTTCGCAGTGTTGTTCATAATTTTCTCCTGAAATGGAAAAATGTAGAAAAATGAATTTAAAAGCTAGGAAATGTGCTGCCTTGTGACGTCATCTAGCATCGGTTCCCATTTCACATGTATTTTAGCAGATTAGGTTGTTTTGTCATATGTATACTACTACTAAGTAACAAGACGCTCTTATAGCGCTCCTGTGCGCTCTGCGACACCCAACCGCCACTGATAGCGATCCTGCCAGAGCTCCTCCGGCAGATCGCATCTCCTTATTTCCTGCCATACTCCATCCTCGATTTGGATCCATTTTGTCATATTTCCTCCGATAATAATTGTTCAAATTAGAAACGGAGGATTTCCTTATGCTCAGTTTTTGTAATAGTTTCATCTAAAACATGAAATTCACAAAATTGAGGACAACTGCAAATTCTCCATTGCGATGATGATCGTGAAGTTAGATTTTGCAGACAAAGACTTTTATCCCGATGGAATTGGTCTCGCGTGCAAACAATTTTCCAACCACACGATTCGCGGAAAACGTGTGGCTATCCATGGGTCGTGAGGCAATTTCGTGAAATGATGCATTAATCTCCGTCTTCTCCTTCTGTGATAAAAACTGTAAAAGAAATGGGATAAATCGCAGAATTGGACGTGAAATCGGGAATTTTGCCTTGAAACTGGACGCGAGGCAGATTAAACAGACCACGGGGCAAAAACGACAGATCGCTAGACTGTCGTGCTACGGAAAAACGCCGTATGAGTATTCAAATGTTGCCATACTGCCACTTGAAAAACATTTATTTTATAGAACGTGAATATTTTTCTTTGAGATTTTCGGACACTTTCACTCAAAAAAAGAAAAAAAACTCCAAAAGGGGATGAAAATATTCAAAAATATTATTGTCGGAGGTGATTTGAAAAACACATTATTATCCGATTTTACAATCGGAGATAAAAACGCTTTTATTCGCACGTAGCCGTCGGTGTTTCGGTTCATCCACGGCAGGCGCAATGATACGACTATTCGACCACGGATGTAGGCATGTTGCAGCCAGCCGGATTGAAGGCGCGTCAAACTGTGAAGATCACGCAGCCGCGTTCCCTTCCCTGCCTGTCGTAACGCTGAAATCGCCGCAAACCTAAGAATACGCGCCATTATTTTCACTTTTTGCCTTGTTTTACTATATTTAAATTGAAATATGTACTTCAACTTTAACGATTCAAAAAATTTAACTGTATTTGATTCGTTTTTTGATTGAAGAAAATGGAAAAACGAGAGTAACGCGTCGCAACTTTCTATGATTTTTATTTTTAAATCATTATAATTCGATGTATCGCGATGTATCCGATGCGCGTATCTCAGCGACCATCGGATAATGTCGGATCTGTCGGAACCATTCGTATAGATTTGCTACAAATCTGGATGAAAATGACACGAATTTGCGAAATTTCAGTCGTTGCGACGACTGTTGACTTCCATAATCAGCTGCCAAATTCTGCGTGTGATTCAGGCATAACACAGCAGTGGAGACGGTCAACGCGACGAATTTTCTGCACCCTCACAGTCCCCTAAATTTTAGTTCAGCGCTGAAATTTGCCTCGGAAAAGACGATCGGCTCACAATTTAATGATACATTTTATTCGAGCGACTCATTTCTCACCCACTCGAGATAGTGGCGCTCATTCCGCGATAATCCACATGTTATCAATCGTGGCTGAACCAGGCTGCCGTGCTAAGGAAAAACGCCGCATGAGCCTTCAGACGTTGTCAAGTTTTATCCGATAAAAACCGAATTTATTCGGAAAATTTCGAATATTATTTTCCAAAATTTTCAGACAGTGGAGATGTTGCATTTGTGAGGAATTTGCGATTTGACTGTTGATTCTTATGTAAAAGTTCGCGAGAAACACGATGGTGCTACTGGTTTTCTCTAAAATCATCTTCCAAGCTCAAAAAAAGCTCTCAAGTTGGGGCAAAATGGAGGGGATATCCCACGCTATCCTGAGAGTCCACCTCTACATCAAGACAAACTCTCCATGCAAAGATAGGGAGCAAATACATTAGCAGTGATGCCGTGTTTTCAGTTTTGGAGTCTCCAAATAAAGTGGCAGCCCTGTCAATGTATTTGCTCCCTATCTTTGCACGGAGAGCTTGTCTTGATGTAAAGTTGGACTCTCAGGGTAGGGTGGGATATCCCCTCCATTTTGGCCTCAACTTGAGAGCTTTTTTTGAGCTTGGGAGTTGATTTCAGAGAAAACTAGTGGCACCATCGTGTTTCTCGCGGACTTTTACGTAAGAATCAACAGTCAAATCGCAAATTCCTCACACATGCAACATCTCCATTGCGAATATTATTTTCCAAAATTTTCAGACAATTTTGTACGCAATTCAGTCTATAATATATGAAAATTTCAAGGAAAAAGGAATGCTGTCAAAAAGACGTGTTTTATAAAGGGAAATTTGGCAACTCTCGAATGTTCATACGGCGTTCTTCCTTAGCACGGCAGCATGCGACGCGATGCGGGAAGGCGCATCATTATATGTTCCTTGCCGATTCCTAGTCCCACGGCCCTGGGGTTCAAATTTGACTACATTTTGCAATTTGGAACTATAAAATCTGACCCTGTTTGAAAACAACGTAAGTATGTGCCATTAGTTTCCCTTTGCACATGAGTGTTTTTTCAGGTGAGCCAGGATTTATAGCTCCAAATTGCAAAATGCAGTCCAATTGTTCTCGACCGCGCGATCGCGATCAAATTGTGGATTTGCCCTAAAAATTGTGGAGGCTGAGATTTTTTTTTCTTTTTTCTAGATTTTTCAGTTTGTAGATTTTCAACTTTTGTGGGACACTGCGATTTCGCATACATTCTGAAATAGACAAAAAAACTCAACGAAATGTTGATGAGCGCGTGGTGTTGACCTTCTTGCGAAAACCACACGCATTGCAGAAAATTGCAGAGGCCTAGAAAAATTTGCACCCCTGCTACGCCCTTAAACCCTTATCCCCTGCCGGATGACAAGAAATAGCGGGGCACGCGTTCAAGGAAAAGTTGAACATTTTCCCTCCGCAAATCTATGAAATCCTTACATAAAATGTTGTGGGTACCTAGAATGTCGTCCTATTTTGAAAGTAACGCACTCACAGCAAAATCGGTGCGACAGCAGGATGGAGAATGAACTGGAATATTAAAACTCCTTGACTAATTTTGGAAAAATTCCCTGACTTTTTTATTAAAAAAAAATGATAAATTGCTGGTTGAATTCTGGAATTTTTTTTTGCTCCTTTACCTGCCAGGATTGAAAGGAAGCACAGGTCACCAGGCCTGCTACATCCCATCTGGGGCCCTGGTGCCAGTTTTAAGGTTTAGGCCCCATTGAAGGCCCTATGAGAATTCGAAGTAGTGTGTCAGGGGCAGCACGGGCCCTGGGACCAGGGACCCAGTATCCCCCCCTTGTAGCGGGCCTGCAGGTCACGGCTGCGTAGTGTTCCAGCAGCCAATGGCAGCGTAGATATACAAAGCAACCTAGACATGATGAAGATAAAGGGGCAGGAAAGAATACCCAGCAGTCAGCCAAGTGGCTGAGAGCTGAGAATTTCTAGCTTGAGAATCATTGATCACGCTTTCAGCTTTGATATAGGAATGTACCACTTACATGTGGAACAGTTGGGGATCCGATAAAATTTTGCTCTCAAGCAAGAATACGATTCTTAATATGACTGTATTACATAAATAGGGGTATAATTACAGAATCTGAATCCTTTGCCAGCCTAATACTTTATAATGTGGGTTATGTTTCATCCATGTTAGTTAGTCTTAACACTATCAAAGTAGAATGGAGTCAGATAATAGAATTCAGTCTCATTTGGTTTTGCGGTTTTCTCATCGAGTACCTTTCTTCTTAAGGTGATCCGTCGTGGTTTCTGGTGGGGTCGAAACAGGTGTGCAATATATTGTATTCGTTTAGTAAAATATCTCTGCAGGTTTTTATCCGAATCAATGCTATGAGTCGAACACCAGTTCGGCGACGCCAGAAACCATGATGAATCACCTTCAACGGTTACAGGGGTGCAGAAAGTTTATTAGTGTACGCTTTCACCAGGAAAACACAAATTTTCCCAACGCACTATTACACAGCGCAGTCAAAGTAATTTTGACAGAAAATCAGCTCAGTTGAAGTAAATTTGACTAAAGTAAAGCAAGATAGAAGTAATTTCAACAAAAATCGGTGCGATTGAAGTAAATCGGACAAAAAATCAACACTGTCAAACTTAAGAGTCAGTGCAGCTACCACCACAGTGTACACCATTCACCCACGAGACGTATCTCGCCAGATCGTGAACATTTTGCACCCCTGAACAGTTAATGACTTAGCTAGTAATATGACCAGATTCAAAAGCAGCAAAGGTACAGGTCCTTTAGAAGGATTTGTTAAGAGTACATAGAAGAATTTTGGGGACATTTACCTTTGATGTGGTGAGGAGGATTTCGCCAACATTTTCTAGCGGCTCAAGTTCAGCAAGAGCCGATGACACATATTGAAGCAGATACAGACAGAGCAGGTAAGGGGTCATCTTAAATTAAACTACTGAGAGATAATGCGTTATCACAGATGGAGCACATGAGGTTTGCAAAATCTAAACAAAAAATGCTGTGTATATCAAGTTACTTGGGGCCTCAGGTTGATAACCCATTCATCCAGCTCGTGCTACGCTTAGTAGGTGCTTGCAAGGTACATAATAGGGGTTCACACACTTCATAAGAACATTGAACTGCACAGTAGGTAGTAAAAATTCGAGGCTATTGAAACATTCGCACGAAAATTGCAGCAACAACGAGACTGTCCTTCGACGTGGTTCGGACAGGTACAGGTTGATTGATAAGGATTGGATGTTCGAGTAAAGAGAGATCTTCGATGAGACCGGATCACAGAAACTATGAATAATCAATGCTTTTTCACAACCACTTTTCTCTGGTAATACCACAGCTCGCCCGATCGCGCACTTTTACAGGAAAATGGATAAAGCAATCTAACGCGACTGGCTTTTCCTCCAACTCGCAAAAACTATTATCATCAACTCAGTTTCCACACACACACACAAGCAGAAAACAGGGAAAGGCTAGAGTCCCGAGAGTCCCGGACTCTAGGCAATACCCCCTAGACTGACCATACCTAAACATTGCTTTGAGGTTAAAATACATCTGGTTGTAACGTTTTACACGGCTCTTATGGGGAAAACCTGAAAAAAGCTTTTTTTGTCTCCTAAGAGTAAAATTTGACGGGGCAAGAATTTTTTCCCTTAAACTTCAAGTATGAAGGCCTTGAATACATTTAACTTCGGCGGCGGAATCTGTTTCTGGGTGGAAAAAAAAAAATTTTAATAGTGGAAGTACATACTACATAGGGACTGCATCCGTCAAGGGAATGGGGAGGAGGGGAGGGGGATGTGGTTATCCACTTGAATGTTTTAAATTCTCTGCCAGGAAAGTGATTCAGTGGCAAATTTTTGGTATAGATGTTCCACGAATATTATACTTCCAAGAAACGATCACTTAAGGCCACCAGTCATCTCATGTTGCTCTTAATTTCACTTATTCACTTCGTCCCATAAGGTCCTGTGTAAAAACTCACAACCTGATGCACTCACACACTCACAGATGAGTTCCGAATGTTTAGGTATGGTCAGTCTAGGGGGTATTGCTCTAGGAAAGGCAAAAGGATAATCAATCAATCAACCAATCACAGCACCCTGATTTCGATTCATAAAGTCGATACATCGAAAGTCATCAACAAAAACCGTTATCAGCCGTTGATTGGTGAGATGTTGTGAAACGTAAACACAAAACTTTTCGAAGTTTTCGACTTGTGTAGTTCTTCAAAGTTTAACTTTTAACTCTTTAGGATTCGCACTAATAATGTTGTAAAAGTGGAAACTTTGTGTCCGAGGGTCAGGTCATTTGCTCAGTCCTCATTTCAAGTTCATCAATTCCCCGTGTCAACTGTTAAAGACGGGTTTGTTTAGTCGACTTGTGTTAAGGTTATATACGTTTTTCTCCCGCTCATTTACCTTTTGTTTGAAACTAAATTATTTTTTACATTTTCATCCTTCATAATAAGTTATTTTATCACTAATAATCTCCCCTTTTTGTGGACGTTCCAGCCCCCAACTCTTGAGTACAGTCTCGGATACATACCTAATTAAGTTGGTGATGTAACCACCTCTATGCATGCACTGGCTTTCAGCACTTGAGCTAAGAACTTGTCAGAGTCAACAGAAGAGAAGATGTTGTATGAATATCATAGAATGCCTCTTATTTGTTATCATTTACTAACCATCCCCATGATGCCAACAATAAGCATTTCCAAGAACTGACTTTTTACATCGATGAAGTATTCAGGTGGAAACGAATATTAGGTCCACCTTCTCATCACTTGAAACCATTGTCAGTCAGTCATGCATGAATGATTACCATGGATGCAAAAATGTCTAATAAAAAATGTTGAGATATTTATTTATCACCTGGCTGAGTGAAAATGCACTGGCTTATCACCAGATGCCCAAAACAGCATTTGTTGATAAGGAATTTTTACAAAGTTATTGTTTGATAGTTGGGCGGTAGAGAGAAGTGATTGGCTACCTATTTTTTGCCTCCAACTGACTATCATGTGATCGCATGTGTTGATAATATGACCGTCTATTTTAATTACACTGATTCAGCTGTGATAGTTTCCATAGGAAATTATTCTTGAAACAGCCGGCGGAAGCTGACCACAATCTACTGTTTTCACAGATGTGCAATTCGTTACTTCATCACCAAAGTCATCATTCTAAACTCGCATTACTTTTCACAGCAGGTCCTCTCAATGCATGACCTTGAACTTTTCAATTAATTCTTTGTCCCAACTGTCAAAAATAATTTTTACAGAGTGTCATGTATACCTACCTTACCCTACCAAGTTCAGACTAGTTGTTCAAGTATTTCATTCAATAAGCTGAGTTCTTATGTAATTTTTATGAGATTCATTATTATTTTTTATTCAGATATCAAATCTGTATTTCTTGACTAACCAGTATCTCAGGTCCAAAAGCAACCCGTAATTTCCTCTGTATGAACTTAGAAATTCTACTCTACAGTCCAAAACTAGGTAAATACTCCAACTTTATTTTGCTCTGTACTTTTGGCTTTTGTTTCAAAATAAAAACAGTTTTTTTGGGATTTAATTTTCAGGTATGCCACTGAGCGTCAGCAAATTTTGACAATGGACTCAAATGAAGCACAAAACAATAAAGATGATGGATTTATCGGGCTGTATCTCGATCCAAATGATCTTGAAGCTGACGATAGATGTACGTAAATATACTTAGTTCTAGGAGTGAATTGTACATGAACTTTTGCCTAATCAATTAAGGCGCTATTCATAAAATTCATAGCACTAGATTTTGAATTTTAAATTCCCCCTTCCCCCTCTCCACCCCATTGTAATGCCTCGTTGGCGTAGATCCCTATCCTTCAACATGTCCAAACAAAATTGCACAATGCTCTCCTCAAACTCCCCTCTCCCAGAGCATTACGTATTTTACAAATGGCCCCTACTTAAACATTTTTAGTCAGAAAACTGAATAATAAGATCAAACACGGTTTAATTCAGAAATGTGTATGAGCTCACGCCATCATTAAATAAACAAAATTAGACATAAAGGCACTTACTGTGATCCAATCATCCCATTGTGAACCACAGTCGTGAAATATCTTGTGAACAGTCCGGATGAATTTTTCGAATAGAGTCTGCATATGATCCATAGACTCTTCCTATTGCTTCGCAAATATTTGCCGTCCACAATTATTTTTAAAAATTATTTATCTTGTAAGACTGCTCTGTTATGCATCTGGGCTTGAAGGGGTTTTTTACTAAACTTGTGCACAGTGTGAGCTAACACGTACTGGAATTCCCCCTTCCTGTTATCACTCTTGGTTTACCACCTTATCCGCATTCAAATAATAATGTTAGAGATTAGTCTTTTTATACCTCGCTAAAGATTTCTGCGGTGATAAGTTGTCTTCTCTCATCACTACAATCTCAGTCTGAATTCAAGAACAGTCACAGAAAAGAGACCCTATTGTCCTGCCGTGCTTGAGAAAAACTCTGTATGGGCATTCAAACATTGCCTTTCCTTTGATAAAACACAATTTTTTTTTTAAAAACATGTGGATATAATTCACTCAATTTCATAGAGAATTTTATTAGCAATTTAATAGAAAATTTAGACAAATTTGGAGGTAAAAAATTCGTACTGAAAGTTTCTCAACAATGAATCTCTTATCTGGGCTCGTTTGGCAACCTGCTAACGTTTGTACGACGTTTTTCCTTAGCAAGGTAGTGCAAAGAAGGAACTTGTTCAGGAGATTTATTACAGGCAAATTAGTTTTAAAAATTAGAATTCAACTCTCCAAGAAAATACTTACTGCCGTCTTGCTCAGCAATAATGAATTTTAATTGTTGGCGATGTAGCTTATTTTTGCCTCGGTGATGGGTCAGCTGTATGAATTTTTTCGATTTATTTTCTGAAATTCAAGAGTGAACTAAGCTTCCAGGAATTTCGTCAGATTAATTTTAACACTTTGTCGTTGACTGTCGGGCGTGACCCAACAAAAAATTTTCCATGTTCTGGTCATAAGTCAGGCCTGACCCAACATAAAGTTTAGCGGACTTTGGAGTCGTCGAACGGACCCAAGTTGACCTGCTTAACAAATGCTGCAGCCCTAGTGGTCACCAAAGGAACTACTCGATATGTTGGCATCATTGTAAGCATATTGTTGCAATGAGGTGAACAGGGACAATTAATTGTAACCACAAAGAGTTAACCCGAAGTGGCAAACGAACCCTGTTTTGAAAATGCCTAAAATAGGACCTGTTTGAGAGGATATTTTTGGTGTGCTAGGATAACGTAATTAGGCAAGGGAAAACAGTGTCTACTGATTGGCTGAACTCAGCTTCAGGCTGCTATGTTAACTCTGCGGTCAGCTTTGATTGATCGGATTTTGATTTGCTTTTTCTCCCTTTAGAAATGATTTATTTAACTTCCTAATGAACTTTTTGGTTTTTTTTAATGAAATTTTACGTAGGGAAAATCGCATCAGAACCCTGCAAAAATTCCTTTTGGCCCTATTAGATAAAAAAATTAGAATTTTACCAGCCAAAAGTAAGAAATACTCTGGTTTTATCTGCAAGAATGAGCTTTAAGCTATGTAACCGATTTTTGTCTCAATATATCCGAGAAACTCTTTATGAACCCAGAGATCTTTTTTTAAATATTCCATGTATCTTATTTCGATTTCTCTGTTTGCAGCGGCTTACAAGAAGGTGTATAAACTTGCCGTAGAAATACTTCCTCTTTTGAAGAAATATAAAGCTGCAAGGTTCAAGTATTTTGATGACTTTCAAAGCGCTAAGAATTTTGCGGAAAATGGCTCTGAAGGTGATCCCACGTGGTCGTCAGATGCCCTTTTTGCAGAAAAGCGGTCAGCATTAAATTTGAGGTCCATCAGCAGGGAAGAATTTCAACTTTTCAAAAAATACCTGGAAGACTGCAATGTTTCCAAAGTTCAAGAACTAGTCACCCTAAATCCTCGGTATCTCGTTGGCTCTTGTTCTTTTCCGTGTATTTTAAAAGTAAGTTCACCTTTTAAATTTTCAGCTCTCATCGCTAGAATGCTTAGTTTCCTTGATGAGTTTAAAGGAGATTGCTCTTTTTGCATGATGAGTTTCAGATCATTGTACCAAAAAGAAACGGACTTTTGAAATCTAATTTTTTTGCTTGTTTCGAAGTGTGACTCCTCTTACCCATGTGTCTACATTATCTGACATATTTTTGATATCCCATGCTGTGGATCCTTGTAACACTTATCAATTGATTTCGAGATACAGCCTAAATTAAAGGCTATTATCATCAAAAGTTCATCTTAACACAGTAAACATCTTTGAAGTCTCGTGGTTTGTGCAGATATTTGAAAATACATGATTGTACTTGATTTTTTCCTAACCTTTTTACGTACTTCAAAAACAAAACAAAATATGCACTGTAATGGCATGAAATTTATCAAAGAATGGACAGAATTCATCCTGAAAACTTGCTAGAAATTTCAGCCTATGAAGATACTGTTGTGTTTAAAGCATCTCAGTTCGCAGAGTTACCAACAATCAACTAGTTAATAAAAATACCTCTCATTGATGACTATGAACCGGTAAACTTGATTATTCCATTCTTGCTTCTTCTCTCATCATGGTTATTTCTTTTTCAGGAAGGACCAAGGTATAACGCTTTACATATAGCTGCTAAAGCAAAAAATGCTGAAATCGCAAGCATTATTTTGAAGACAGTTTCAGATCCAAACACATATGTGAGGTTATATGGGCCAGAGGCAAATGATAAGTCTAATGTGAAATGTGCATCTGTGTTGCTGGACTTGTATTTGAACACACCTGATAAAACGCTTCAGGAAACACCGCTTCACTTCGCTTCCAAGCACGCTGCAACTGGTGTGGTTGAAGTTCTCATATCATACCCTGAGTGCCAGAAAGACAGGCCAAATAAGTACAATCAAACTCCTCTAGATGTGAGTATTCTTGGACAGATCAATTCGGGTGTCTATAGCTCCGGTAAAAAGGTAAAACCGGAAATAATCAGAAACGCTCATCAGGTCAGGGAATTGTATGGAAAAGATAATGAAAATTTGTTTTTCTGGCAGCTTCACTTGTTTTTGATATTTTGTTGTTTTTTGTGTGCTTCTCGGATAAACCATTAGACAAGGTGTGAATCTAAGAATTATGATATAAGTGTCTCTATTTCCTCTCCTTTCGGATCCTATTGGTGTAAGCGGGTGGTTGCAATGTACGAAGGAGGTAAGTAATAGACTAACGGCAACCTATACAAGAGACCTTGTAGTTAGTAAATCATTTTCTCCCTCAGTCGATAGGAACCACTCATTTCAACCAATAGGATCGCTCTGTACTTCCGATGTCTTTGTCTATCACTTTGTTTATCAATTTCAATAATCAGCCAGCAGGCAGTTGGATCATGACAAGTACAAAGAAGCATTTGAGGGTCCTGAAAAGTGCTATTTTACCTGAATCCTTTAAATTCTATGCCTTTTGATACACATGTTTGAAATTCCCGTTTTTTCTCCTCTCATTTTTTTCGTTACTTGGTACCAATATTCTCGTTTCAATTCTTATTCCTTCATGTTGACATATTCTCTGTCCTCAGATAATTGCTTCAAGAGAGCAGAATGTTCCGGCCTCAGAAATAGAAAAGATCCGTCTCCTACTAACGGACCCCTTTTACGTTCCTGTATTACGAAGTGAGGATAACTCATGTCAACCCAAAATCGGTGAACCATTTTCTCCAACCAGTCCAGTTTATCAGGTATCGTTCGCCTCTTCCTTGTAAAATTATCCATTTTCATCCGTAGAGTAAGTTTTTCTTGGTTGAAACGAGTTCAGGAGTATATATTTCATAGAAAATCTTTTCTTATGTGAACTGTCCTAAGAGCCTTTCATAAGATATGCATGTAATGATCAGGAAGGGGTGGGGGAGATTGAAGAGAGCATTACGTCTTTTTGTTTTTGTGTCAAAAATAGGGGCCCACATCACAAAAGCGATATGAGGGGAGGGTCGACAAATCCGAAGTTTAGTGTTACATACCTCATGAGTGGCCCCTTATAGCTCTAGACTTATAACTGTAGACCTTGATAATTATGTAGTTAAGGTTTTTTTTTTAAAAAAAAAACAGGGAATCTTTTGCTTGGAGTTTGTGAAGAGGACGTTTGATTGAACAGAAACATTTTAGCAAGTCTCACAAAGTAGTTGCCCTCAGTATTCTTCTATTCTTTCTTTCCAAGAAATATAATGCATATAGAAGCTTAAAAGAAAAAAACCTGAATGGGTTTTTTCTTTTACTTTTTTTCATTGAAATCAATAGTTTCTAACCTGAAAATTAACAGATAATAGAAGTATAGATGATGCTGTATCTTAAAATGCAATTCTGGCATGGTGGATGATTGATTGAAATATTTGAATAGTGATGACCTTTTCCTTGGAACCATGGGAGTATTTCTGTGGAAATTCCGAAGAAAGTAAGGAATTTTTAGGAAACCAGGAAAATTCTGCAAAAATTGTGTAGGAGTTGGAAAATTAGTCATGAGGACAAAGTGCTGAAGCAAGGCAATCAAATAACAACTCAGAAATTCCTGTTCCCTTGACAGATGATCTCATCTCCGATTTTGTTTCCATCCATAAAATTGTGTTAATTTCAAAGTTTTCCATCCCATCTTTTCAGAATGACCATGAAGATATTATTAGTCCAAAACTAGAAATTAAAGCATTAGCAGGTCCCATGGCATATAATCAAGCATACATGTTTAAGAAGCAGTGGAAAACACCGCCGCGTAATTTTCAGAGTCCTGGCTCTCCGAGTACGCCTCGCTCTGGAGCAGTACTCTCACCTAGTTCTCCAGGACTCTCTCCTGCGCGTCGTATCATTTTAGGTGATCTTGATCGAGGACTAGAAAAAGTTGGCAGGTGAGGAAAACAAATTTACCATTATTCCAAACAGTTACACAGCAAATAATCTTTAATTTTTTTGAGGGCAATGAGTTTAAAATCCGTTGCCATTATTCCCTGAACTTTTTTAAACTTTATGATGAAAACATTTTTAGATGATTTTGATATTCTTATCGTATCTCAATGAATTTTGGTCTGAGCTGGTTAAGATCTTGATCATGTCTCCTAGAAGTTTAGATTAGTGGAAAACAGTAATCCTAAAGTGAGCACCATCCTCCAAATTATTTTTCAGAAACTGAATCAAAACAATTTGCAGTTGTGTTAATTCATGCAAACTTTACAGAAAACGCTCCAAAATTTTCTTTGGTGTCTCTAAAAACAGGTATCATCCCTTGAAGGAGTCAGTACATTATTATCCATATCTACATTATTTTCCTCAACAATGTAATTAAACTCTATGATATGTTAAAATTTCTCAAATTTTAATTGGGCACCTTTACTTTTGAACTATGAAATGTCTTAAGATGCGCTTAAGTTAAAGTAAAACTACAAAAACATGCAAACAAGTATTTTAATTGCCATGTTTTTAAAACTTCTGCTTCTGTTTTATTCTTTGGAAGGAGGAGGACTCAATGTAATAGCTTTAAATTTTCATAGAATATTCTTAAGGTGGGGAAGAAAAATCACTGGAGTTTTCAAGGAATGGTGTATAGTAGTTTTCTATTCCAAAAATGAAGTATGTATGATAAAAAGTGTACATGGCTGCAAACAGAGATAATCATTTCTGCTGTTTCCCTATCGGTAGATATAGTGTCATAGATGAGCAATCAAAACATTTAATACATTCCTAAAATTAATTCTCTAACTCCGTTTAAACTGTTATTCAACAGGTGTCTAGCTAAAGAGAAGAATATTGGATGGAAAGAATACTGGCCTTTTCTGAAAGATTTTGTGGATCTTCAAAGCAAAGATGGTCTAGCGAAATTAGAGGCTTACCTCCAGAATAGGTTTGAAAAGGTAACTTCAATATATTTTATTCTTCAGAGCGGAATTGCCACCAAGCAAAAAGTCAGTAGTGAGCAAAATCGATAGACAGTGATAGAGGAAGAGAAAATGGAGGGATCCTATTGGTAGAAGTGGGCATTGGTTGTAATAGACTAACTGAAGGCAACCCACGAAGGACCCTATGGTTGGTCCACCATTTCCCCCTTAGTCTACAAAACCAATCTGGTCCAATCAATGAAATCGCTCCATTTTCCCTTTGTCTTTTTTGTCTATCACTTCGTCTATCAATTTCAATAATCAATAAATATATGTGTACTGAAGTATAAAATAGGATAGGAAAAGGCGGGGACAAGGCTGAATAACCCAATAATTTACAAAACACCGGACGTTTCGACTGGTCTCCTAGTCATTATCAACCATCGAAAATGAAAAATTAAAAAATCTAAGAAAAAAAAAGGCTAAAAAATTATGTTTCTGGTCCCTGTTATATCTGTAATAAAATGAAAATAAGTGTTTGAAGTTTTGAAATTACTAGGATCCTTATGGCAGATAGAAAGTTCAAAGTGACTGTTTAATGCTTGAAAATTGGAATTTGGGAGCGAATTTTTCACAGAATATGCATCAAGACTAGTTTTACTTGAAATCATTAATATCTCAACTTTTTTATGAACTGCACTTACGCGCTTTGTCCTTCAAACCCCTCAATAATTTTGGTGAAGGACTCTAAGGACTCTGGAATCCAAGAAATTCGATGCTGGTTGAATTTCGAGATTTTTTAGAGTGATGTTTCTCATAATCACCCAAGTGAAATTTCGCTTTAACAGCAAACTTTCTGTGTGCCAATTCCGATAAAATCAGGTTTCTAAAGCATATTTTTATCAATGTAACATGTGATATCAAATAAAAGACGAAAAAAAAGTTGTAGCTTTGAAAATATTGGAGAAAAGGGTTTTTCAAAATGAGAAGGCCAGTTCAAGAAGTGGGAAGGCTAAGAACTTTCTGCACCCAGGCGCATTCTAAAAAAGTTGAAGAGTCTTTGACAAGTTTTACTGTCAACAACCTCAAATGTTTTTTGTGAGAAGATCATAAACTCTTACAGTGAGTAACCAGATTGGTCACTTTCTTGTTTTTTACGTTTGTGATGTGCGCTTGTTTCAGCGGAAGTCAAAAGGAGTGCTAACAAATTTGATTAGAGAAAAAGTAAAAAAGTCAGAAGGAATTAGGTACAGAGAACTTAGAGAGAAAATTAGAAAAAGTATTAGTAAATCAGAAAAACCAGTATCTTCCCAAAACACCAATGAGGTTAGTCCTATGTCGGAGCTTTGTTCAGAGTTCGAAAAATTGCAAGTGTATTCCCCCGTGCCCGAAGCTCTCCAGGAACCAAATATGAAGACTGAGGATGACATTCAAGGCCTGCATTCAAGTCTGGTGAATGGAGATTCTTGGAAATCTCAAGAAAAATCAAAGCTTGAGACTCCTAATATGTGTTCAGCCAATGAACTGCCTTCATCATCTACTAATATGCCTTATTTATGTGTTGAGAAGTCTTGCCTGGTAAGTTGTATTCGAAGAACTCACAATTACATAACCTTACCAAATTTTGATGGTTTCATATTTTCAAAAGTAACTATTTGTTTCTATGAGTTTTTCAGTGGGACTTCAGCAAAATGCTATTTTCTTATGATTCTTCGCAAAGTCAGCGTGTTGGTTTTTTTTTGGGGGGGAAAATGAAACTCCATAAGAGATTTATTATTTTTAGTCATTATTGAAATGAAAGTCTAACTGTGGTTGTTTACATCTACTGAAAGTAATAAACAAAATTTGAGAGAAGAGCCTTTTAAAGGCTAAATACATAGGCTGTCCCAAAACAACTGAGAGTAAGTCTGTATTTCAGAAACAATAAAAGATATTGAAACGCGGTTTGTGAGAGGTTGTAGCTCATATCCTTAGCTATCAAACGAGCCCAAGATTAGCTCATTTGGTCAAAATTTCGCTAAGTTACAGCAATTTTCCGGAGGCGAGTAAAAAATAACCCTACAGGATTTTTTAGTATTTTTTTCCTTGTCTGAACCGTTGTTCCGAGAGTCGCGCGGTTGATCGCAACTTTGCGGATCATGTTGGCACTGGTCTAGATGCAAGTTCTAACATACTTGCATATGCTTTCATTGCATATCAGAGTTTTCTTAAACTTCCCAGCTCAGTGAAGCCAACATTGTCTAGCGTTAATGACACGTGTTCTCGTTTGGTGCAATGAGTTCGCCCGCGGAGCTGAAACAAGAGCAACGTTATGCCATCCGTTACTGTGTTCGCCGAAGTTTAACTGCCTCTGATACTGTGAAAGAGATGTCAGTTGCTTATGGAGAAAATCGACTTGGGGAGAGCACCATTTATCGGTGGCATGCAGCTTTTTCCGAGGGTCGCGAGTCGGCGGCTTTGATTCCGCATGGCGGCCGGCTGTCAATTTCTGCGGCGCGGCGGAGGAAAGTGTCATTAACACTAGACAATGTTGGCTTCACTGAGCTGGGAAGTTGAAGAAAACTCTGATATGCAATGAAAGCACATGCAAGTATGTTAGAACTTGCATCTAGACCAGTGCCAACATGATCCGCAAAGTTGCGATCAACCGCGCGACTCTCGGAACAACGGTTCAGACAAGGAAAAAAATACTCAAGAATCCTGTAGGGTTATTTTTTACTCGCCTCCGAAAAATTGCTGTAACTCAGCGAAATTTTGACCAAATGAGCTAATCTTGAGCTCGTTTGATAGCTAAGGATATGTGCTACAACCTCTCACAAACCGCGTTTCAATATCTATCATTGTTTCTGAAATACAGACTTACTCTCAGTTGTTTTGGGACACCCTATGTATTTTTATTGTTTTCAAAGTATGCCTCTTTACAAATGATTTTCAGTTTAAAAAAAGAATTTTTTTGGACTTTATTTCTGGGAACTATGCCTTATGAGCTGACTCCTTTCTGCACTGTTCACTGTCATCCCTTATGGTGAAAAGAAGTTTCTGATGTACGAGACAATCATTTTACAAATGAGCTTCATGCTGATTTTTAATGCAAGTTGGCTAAAAAATTCCAACTTACTGTCTTTCAATCATTTTCCAATTGGCGCAAGCACCACAAAAACCAGAAATAAATGAAAAAATTCATTTTATTCAACCTGCTGTCAAACTCAGTTTTAACAAAGTATGTGCTTTGTCGGACAACAATTTAGAATTCAGAAATTATTGTTGTCGTCCAAAAAAATTTTCGATGGCAATCTTAGTCTTTTAGAACGACCCTAATGCGATTTAGAATGCAATCGGTCCTTATCAATGAAGGGGAAAGCCAGGCATGTTGCTGTGTTCTTAGAAGAGAAATCATCTATCTAACAATCCTATGTTTGAATTATAAAAACCATATAAACACCATCAAACGCACAGTGTTTTGTGTTTCCAAGAACGTCTACCAGCCTCTTAGCACACCGGTTACATCCTTGAGCTGCTGAAACAATATTTTTGTTTTTATTTTGCAGGTTTTTGCAAAAAGAATTGGTGACATTCTCCTTTCAAATCAAAGCAACAATAACTCGAAAAAATTTGCCGCAGAAAATGCGCTGAAAACCTATCTACTCCAAGAAGTGAAACATATCAGCTCTCTAATCGGCAACTATATTGATGACTCAGCATTCAATGGTGTCCAGTTTTCCTTGCTACATCACAGATTGGCAACAAGAATCGTCAGTTACCTTTTAGATTATCCGGAAAAGCTTAGTGATGTCTGTAAGGATCTAGAAGGACTACTAGACACGTAGGTTGCCATTTAAATGTAATGTATTCATCCAGTACATTTAAGCGTGAAAAAGAGTGGTATTGATAAGGGTCGTTTTTAGGCCCATCCTTGCTTATTTTCCTCAACTCTATAATTTTTTATTCACTGAAGAGCAGCAATATTCTACGGAATTCGTCATAATTTGGTCATTTGCAGTCTCTTCCCGAATTTAATACTGCCTTTAACCCATTGACTTAAATTGAAGGCTCCCAGCCGTCCGCCGTGCGCTGGGCCCGATCTGAAGAGACGGCTCAGAGCTGTCCGTCGATTGTTTGCGTTATTTCGGCGATTCTCTGGTAGATTGCGTTCTCATCAATGTTTATATGAGTAGTGTGGCCACCCTACGACTTATTGTGTTCGGTAATTTCTTGTTTTGTTACGGTATTTTCATATTACTGTGCGTCTGCACTCGAAATGACCTCAAAATTTTCTGATTTTCGCTGATTTTGCGATTTTTGCGACTTTGACAAATATAAACCACAAGAAAAGAATCATTTTGTTCTAAGTTTTCACCATTTTTCTCAAACGTTGTATTGTGAATGCTTATTGTGTCAATTTTCACCCTTAGAGAAAGAATTTCTGGATTATTTTGAAGTGTTCAAAGTTACTGATTTCCGCCAAATTAAATCGTAATTCCTGGCCCGGCAGGGTCAAATTGAATCATAAGTCAATGGGTTAATAGAGGCCAATTTTGGGGAAAATTGCGGATTTTTTTGTACTCGACCGCAAACTCGCGAAACCCACATTTTCCGCCGAAATTGGTCCTTAGATGCGTATTTATGTCAGTTTTATACCCAGTCAAAGACCGCAAATGACAAAATCATTATGCATTCTGTAAAATGATTACCTGTAAAGAGCAAAAAATCGTAGGGTTGAGGGAATTCAGGCCCAAAAACGGCCCTTATTTATACCCCTATACTATACTATACTATACTATACTATACCCCTATATTATACCCCTCCTTTATTTGCGCACCAAGGACTTTTCCCAAATGACAGTGGAGTTATGCTATTCGATAACTTGAGCCCCAATGTAAGAAATGTATGAGTGCCCTTGACGTGAGAGATAACTAATGGTTAAAAATGTGTCAAACAGTTGATATTAATGAGGCAGGCTACCTCACCTGGAGTTGTTTATTTACACTAACTCAAACAGAGGAAAAACTGTGTTACTAACTCGCAAGTATGGTTACTGGTGGTACCCAAAGCAGTGGGTGAGAGATTAGAGATTTGAAACACTTACTCCTGTATATCTATAGAAAATATTCTTGTCAGGGTTGCCACTGTCAGGGAATACCGGAGAATGTTAGGTAATAATTGTTGAGTCACCTTTGTTTGCTTTCTAGGATGACTTCGATGTTTCGAACAACAAATTTTGCCTGAAAACTATCTCTAATTATGTCTTTTTAATCATCTAGCATATCCTCAATTGTCAGGGAATTTCGCCAGAATGTGTCAGGGAATCTCTTTTTATAAATACTGTAGCAACCCTCTTTTGTACTTCAAAGAAGAACATTAGCATTTTGCCAGACGCTGTGTGCTGTTTTCACTGTGTTAAATACAATGCTGATAACATGCCTAACTTTGATTCTTTATACAGAGATTAATATTTCTCAAAGGGGACGGTAACACTAAAATCGAAAATGAGATAGTATTAAAAATTGAAGCGGGAAGATGAGAGAAGCAAAATAGCTTTGTCCCGAATGAAAAATTCGCAAAATCAGCAGAGATATGAAAGATTATAAGTCTGACTGGTGACGTCATGCGCTCCCGGTGCAGTTGCGGAGTCTGCCAGGAACGAGCGAGATCGAGGCGAACTAATAACTTGTCGCGAGCACTCATTGGCTACTTGACATCAGAGACAGAATGCAGAGTGCAGACTGCGAAATGTGAGACAGAGCTCATGACGTATCGAGCTCAGCTGTTTTTTCGTGATAGGGGCTCAACGAATGCAGATATTCACAAGCAGATTTCGGCATTGTTCATTGCACACTTTTCTCTGTCAATTTAGCCAAACTTGTTTTTAAGGTTGCCGTCCCTTTTAAACACATTTTGCTCAGGTACTAACGGTCTGCTCAATTTTTCCTTGTCTAGTGATAGCAGTGAGCCAATGGAAATTTGTTCAACGCCACCATCACGAAACAGTAGATTGAAGATCCAAGATGAAACAGTATTACAATGTTTAATACAGCAGTGTTCGACTATTCTGAGTGCTTTTCTTGGGAAGGACTCAGGCGATGCAACCCTCTCTGCTAACTGCTCTCTTTTAGCTGAAACGGAAGTTCAAGATCAGTGGGAGTTATCGGAGCATTGCCAGTGTGCCTTCATCAAAAGTTCCATTTCACCTCCTAGACGACATCGGAACAGATCGTGGAATAGTACGTAGCAACATTTCAGTTAAACTGAACGGTGAACTAATTTTAGTTTGTTCCATGATAAAGGAATTTTTTCCATCTGTCTTCTACAAGAGGGGAAGTTTTGTCAAAACAAACTCTGACAAGTTGCCAAAGAGGAAAGGTCGTTTTCGTTAGCTAAGTTGACGTTTGCTGATTTCAAGTTTTTATTTTTTTTGAAAGGAAAGTCTCAATCACTTAATCATAATTTAAACTATAAATGTTGATTCCTCTCTCTCTCAAGTTAATTACAAGCATTTTCAGTATCCCATTTGTCCCCTGCAATAAATTTTGTCGAAGAAAAAGTCCTGTGGATGGTTAAGTCTATCACTGTCCAAAAGTCCATCTGGACAATGTCTTATATGACGCAATGACTTCTTCTCAAGTATGCCTTAATTATTGTCATTTACTGACATTTAATACCAGATGTTTAGCTGTAAGTGCATTCATTTTGAATTTTTCTTTGTCAGGTTTTAAATTCAATCAAAGGCGTGTATCAGCTCTCATCTCGTCTCTTGGAAAAGATCCAGAAGAAAAATCCAACTGCCAAAATGAAGGTACATATGCTCATTTCATCTCCTCCTCTTGAACTTTGCTGCACTGTGGAAAATGCTCTGTAATCATTTAAATGTTGCCAAATATTTCTTAATTCATTTTTTTTCCATGAGAGTCATGAATATTTTTGAATATCTTTCCTTGAAATTTTCGAACACTTGAGATTACATTCCAAACGAAACTGAAGTCTATGGAAATGAAAGTGCATGATAATGACAGTGTTATGTATTTTACCTCTTTTTTTTATTTTTTTTATTGCAGAGCACAGTGGTTCAAGCTCACCACCTGGGTTTGAATTCTCAGAAAGCAGTGGTGAGTCTGAAGAGGAGTGGTACGAGCCTACAGCGCCAACGGATACAGTTGACACAACTTGTTCCGTAAAAACGAAAAATGACGACATAGAGCCCATGAGCATGCCAGCTTTGGCTCCTGAGCTCTATATTGACGAGTAAGTTTCTGTGGTCATTGCCACCTTAAACGGTCCTTGATTTTTTCCTCTCCTAATTTTCCAATCTCTGAAAGTATTCGCTAGTCCTTGAACCTCAAAATCAATGCTAAAATGCGAAACTACGAATCTTTATTGCGGTGTTTCAAAATTTGTGCCCTATTTTAGTTTTTCTAAAAGAAACAAGCAAACTTTATTGCTTAGATTTAAACAGAATATTCTGCCAATAGAGTAAAAAAGTCAAGTCAGTTTTCAAGAAATCACCCTGACTAGTTTTCCACAAAAAAAATAAAAATAAAGTATGATGGGAAGTCTGCAATGTTGCAAACAGAGGTTGGTGGTTCCGCACCGTAGTCATCAAAATTTCAGATCTTATCCCTAAAAATTGCAATTTTTACACCACATAGAAAGCCAGGATGGGTGTCTACATGTCTGGAAAACCATGAATTGGCAGGGAACTTCATCAGGTCATGGAAATCAGGAAAAAGTCAGGGAATTTTATCAGGTAATGAAAATCAGGAAAAAAGTATGAAAAAGACTTAAAATTTGAAAAATCTTGAAATTTGAGATCTAAAAAAATAGCAACGTGGATCATGCCATCAAACTGTTTTAAATCTGGTTCAGGGCTCAATTCTCTAAGTTACATTCTGAGTAAACAGAGAAATAAGCTTCAATAAAGAATTGCAATTTTATTTAATTCAAGTATTCATACGGTATGAATTATGAATCATACCTGAATGAAAAGGTTCACTTGTGTTTGTCATTTGCAGTGAAGTTAATGTCAAAATGGTCCATTTTCATGTGTGCAAATATTTGATGCAAAAAACCAAAGAATTTTAATCATTTTGGTCCGGGAAAACCTGGTATAGTCAAGGAATTTTTTTTCATCAAGTTGGTAGATATCCAAAAAACGAGTAATGCTTCCCTTTTTTTATTTGCTGTTGGAAAAATCTGCATTTCAGCAGATGGTGGCCCAACCGTCAGGGAATTTTTTTAAATTTTTCTCAACTTAATTTATGGACGAATAATTTATATTTAAACCAAAGATCTTAAAAAAATTCCCAGAAAGTTGGTAAAAGTCCTTTTGAAACAAAAGCTTGAGAATTTTTACATTTGATGTTCTTTATTTCTTGAATTTGTTTTTTATTTCCTCTTATTCTCTTTTCAGTTCTGGCCCTTGCAAGTTGGACCTTGACGTCTTCGAAGCCATCGGAGACATGGAATTAGATTTAACAAAGTACCCTGTTACCAATTACTGGAAATTTTGCATCACAAGTCATTCTTTGGAAGAAAGAGAAAAGTAAGTTTTAAAACGTTCGTCTTCTTTATTTCATCATCTGGTTCATTTCTTTTTCTTGTTCTTTTGTCATCAATCCAGCTGAGAAAAAGGAAATATTAAAGAATTCTTCTTTCTTTTTTCTCTGGTTGTTTCATGTGAGAAAAAACACAGTATAAAAAATACTGTGGGACTGCACTGGTACTCCTCCTCCCGTTCGACCGAACTTGCGGCCCTTCTCCAATTTTTATCAATGTACCTGCTGAAGAAGGAGCAAACTCTTATTCTCTCAAAAAGTACACAATTTTTCCTATATCCTTAAAATACTCTGGATTTCAGCTGTTTGCTTTGCAGTTCAGACTCAAGCTCCCTTTCCTCCCTTGATTGTAATTTCTAACATTTCCGCAATGTGTTCCTGTGATCTTAATTGTGGACTTGGTTGCGTCGCAGAATTTCTGCAGCTAAATCATGTCTCAAAGAAAATTGCAATGGATGATTTTCCGGAATCTTAATGATAGCACATTGTAGAATCATGAAGACATTTCTGTGAAAATTTCAATGAAATGCATGCTCTCTCCTTACAATGAATGAAACATCAACAAAGATTCTGAAACTCCGCAACCAAGAGATGTTCCCAGTGCCTCGATCATCACTGGTTTTCATCAAATTTCATCGACAAAATCAGGAGCTTTCCTCAAGGGTTAGACGAGATGCAGACCAGCAGCCTGATTGTTGAAATTTTGTGTTTGTCGGGTAGACATAGATGACATAGGTTAAAAGGCGGAGCGTGCCTGGTCGGCAATGTCTTATCGCTGCTGTATTGTGCTTATGTTGCATGGAACTCACGACAAGCCAAAGGCATCTCTCAAGTTTACGACAGTACGTCCTACATTCTACCTGGCAAAGGCACGATAAAGCAGCAATAAGACATAGCCAACTAATCATGCTCCGCCTTTTAACGTATGTCATCTATGCCTACCTGACAAACACAAAATATCAACCATCAGGCTGCAGTAAGATGAGTTTGCAGTTTTTATTGTCAAGTATTGAAAAATTGCTGAATCATGCATTTTCAAAATTTCCTTTTTTCGGCAAACTATTGGAGATAATATGCACTGCTATTCTGCCGAACTAAAAAAGAACACTGTATGAACCTTCAGGCATTGCCAAATTTCCCCCGGCAAATCTCTACTTTTCAGGTAAATTGTTGAATATTTGTCTACCCATTTCTCAGATAATTTTGTTTGTAATTTGATCTAAAGTGTCTGAAAATTTCAAGGAAGCAAATTCATAACTTTCCAAAAAAGTAATAATTTTATCGGAGGAAATTTGGCAGCGCCCGAAGGTTCATACGACGTTCTCTCTTAGCTTGGCAGTGTTCTCAATGCTCCCAGTATTGCTCATGAACTGCATCTCAATAGTCAGCACTTCTCCTCAGACTTCGTAACATCAGATCTCAGATCCTATAGGGTGATCCGAAAGTCCTATACCACCACTTTGGCCCCTACAGTTCTTGTCTCTTTCCAGGGCGGTCTCTTTAAAGTTTTGGGGTCTCCCAAAAGTCGTTTCCCTTGACCTAAGAGCACTTGCGTAATTTCAAGTCTCTATCTCAACTTGTTCAGAAGTTACTGGGGTTGACGCTGGGTGATGGTGGCATGAGACTTTAGGATCACCCTGTATGATTTCAAAGTCTTTCAGCTGCAAATTTTACTTACCAAGTCCTTTGATAAACTTATTTTTTTTATCGTTTCAGGTGGAAAAAAAGGAGACCTGACATGTAGCCCCTGTTTGATCGCCACAACAATTTTACCAATCACCTCTATTTTTTACCAAGCTGCTCATCCTTTTTACCCTCTTTTTTAAGATTGATCTGTCGGATTGTGTGATAAACCTTTTGTAATATCTTCATTTTGGATAAGCCCTACTCTGTTGAACCAATGGACTGTTACTTACTTTTATTGTTTTACTTGTTTTAGGAAAATTTGTACGTTCGTATTTGTTCATTAAGAAAATTGATAATTACCAATAAAATATTTTTTTTAAATTTCCAAGGAAGCAAATCTGTGGGTTATTTTCATTTTTAGACTGGAAATCCTCAAAACTCCCTATTTTCTTAATGAATGGGCACCCAGGGTTGCCATCATTTTTTAATTTTAATTTTCCTGATTTTCCCTGACTATTTTTGCTTTTCCTTGACTCCAAAATTTTCTAATCACCTGACTTTCCGTGACCTTCGAAGAAAATTTCCACCTTCTTTTTTTCTCTCAAATTACGCTATTTTTTGCTAAACTTAGGATAAAATTTCCTCATTTAAAGATCAAATGATAGATAAAGGCATTCAGCAGCAGGTTAACAGATGACAGGCCTTTCAAATGACCAGAAGGGCAAACAGTTAGAAGATCAGTAATGTTTTAGTGATTAGTAAATGTTCCAGAAATTCTCTGATTTCTCCCATGAATTCCCTGACTTTTCCTGGTTTTCCAGACCGTAGACAACCCTGAGACAGTAATATTCAAATAATAAAACAATCTGGATGTTTGATGAAAATACCAACAATCAGTGAAATACAAGTGCAAACATCCGTCGAGAGAGGGACCTTGGAGGCAAAATTCTTAGTAGCATGATCAGCATCAAGTTGGGTCAAAAAATGCAATTTTGTAGCTTGGACAGAAAACTCTGCAGTGTGTAGAGGAAAATTATAGGCAACAAGGGATGGTTGAAGTTTCTAAAGGTTGCCAGAGAAAATTTGCCTAACCGTGGTAAGTTGGGAAAAGTTAGGGAATTTCGCTGCTGAAATTTTTTCCTCCAGCCAAGATATTGCATTTTTTCACTTTCAAGATACTTTGCATTTAGAATTGCTCACGATTAGAATTTTCAACAGACACCATGCCAGAAGGAACACTGAAAAGTTGGGGATCTTGATGTTCAAAATATACGAAAAGTCAGGGAATTTTGAAATCCAAGAAAACATGTCACCCTGTAGATCTTGATTATTACGATAGGTCATGATTCCGCTTGTTTTTGCAAAATACGGCCCGGCAAGTTTACTGTAAGATAGCATTTACTTGTATAGGATACGATTTTTACTTGTTTCCAAGGAAATTAAATGAGAAGATTCGGAAGATGGTCAAGTGTGCAATTGCTGATAGTCAGGCGAATTATTGCCTAATTATTGCTGCATAATCACTTTCCATTTTATTCATATATTTATTATTAATTTACTTATCTCTTTTTTCAAGTTTCTCAAATTTGTGCAACGACGACGTATGAGTGCAATCAATGACACATTTTTCATCACAAGCGCTAAAAACTGAAGGCGAGCTCCGACTGTTTCAACAGCCAGGTCTGGATACAACTATTCGTGCTCTTGGGATGTCTGTGTTGCATACCCGAAAAATTGCGGGCGCTCTGGTTTTCGTAGACACAACGTGCGGCTGCGATTATTAGTTCACAAGTGTTTTCTACGTTGCATTTTCAATCGTATTTACAGTGAAGTCGTCGGAATTCGAATGTCATATAGCTCTAAGGCAGCGTTGTTCAATCATGCTAATTCATGCAAATAGAGAATTTGCAGGTGTCTGAAATTTTGTGAATTTCATCTTTAAAATGATCTTGCTGGGAAAATGAAGTACAAGGATATCCTTGGTTTCGAAATTGGACAATTATAGGAAAGCCCGTGACGAAATAACCTAATCCGCCAAAATACATGTGTTTAAATGGAAAATGCCGCCAGATGACGTCACAAGGCGGTAAGTTTTCTCACTTTTAAATCTATTTTTCTCCAATTTCCCATGTCAGAAAAAAATTATGAAAAATACTTCAACTCAGCTCATTAAAGTACTCTCAGATGAAGCAATAAAATTTTTGTTTGCAACTTCTCCATTGCGGAAATGTTAACGGTGGTATTTTGCGGGATTCACTTTCTCGACGCCTTTGTAGAAAAGTTATGGGTGGAAAATTTGCACTTTTCGGAAACGCTACCGTAATGGAACACGACTCTTTTGAACTCGACGATGTCATGGTGACACGATAGATCATGCAACGGAGAAAACCCTTGAGATCTAAGAACCGTAGCCGCACATTACGCTGAAGAAAACTAGAGCGCCTAAAAATTTTTGCGTATGCAACATGGACATCCTGAGGACACGAATAGTTGCATCCGAGCGCCTTCGCTTTTTTCCGTTCGTGATAATGAAGTAGGTATATCACTCACAGCATTCAGATGTTGTCGTTGCATGGAAATAAGGCGGTATGAGTATTAATCAAATCAAAAAATAAAATTAATTTAATTAATAATAAATGCATTAAAAAAATTGGGGAAATTCATGCAGCAATTACTTGCCTGATTTCATCGGCGATTGCAAATTTTACCCTCTTCTAAATCTTCTCATTTAATTTAGTAATTATCAAGAATGTGTAAACATCGTATCTTGTTAATTATCACAATCTTCCGTGTGTGGCAGCGTTGCCACAAAGTGCAAATTGCGGGACCTTTCGATTTGACCCCAAAATTATTATCCATGCAACACATGTCGATTTTTCTGGATTTGGGACGGGGGAAACATGACGAGATAATCGACAGCAGGTAGGATAGCGTTAGGTCAACACTATTCTGAGAGGTATCAAAGTCAGAGGTACCAAAAATCTACCTCTTGGTTATAATTATTATTTGAGAGTTAGAATCTCAAGTTAAGCAGCCAAGCGAACATTTCTATTTGCAATTTAAAGCAATAAAATTTCAAATACCATTCAAGGCCGATCGATACAATAAGTTCCACGTATGTGAAAGGTAGGCAACTTGCAATGTAAAAAAATTGGGAATTCATTCCTTCGGATTTATTGCAATACATTTTTATGTGAGTATGTCCCCTCCAATTAGTAGATAGGCAACATTCACAGCACTCAAATGCAATAGCAATAAACCATGCAACCGTAGCAGATGGTTGCAACCTGAGCAACTAGGAATCAGAGAAACCCGAAAGTATGGTTCATTTCGTAATTCTAATATATGGTACTTCTGACTTTGATTCTCTTAAAGAATAATGTTGGCTAGGCACTATGCACCGTCCTGTTACCTCCTAAAAAAAGTATAGGCTTTGATCTTTGAGCAAGACACAGAAAATCCCAGTCACACTCAAAAATTTTTCATTAATCTTTCTTTTTTAATAATTGTTATACTTCGGCTCATATCTCCAAGGTTTCTGGATGGAAAATTGAAAAATCGGACCAACTTTCACGTAGAGAACTATTTATTTAAAACTTTGTACACAATTCAAACGTTCTCCATCTGAGATCCTAAATTTCAAAACAGAAATTAAAAACGAACTGGGGAACATACCTCTACACAATAGAGGATTGAACTTTCTTTACATGGTTGAAATTTTGAAAACAAATGAAAGAGAAAAAACACAGGAGATTGAAACTAACAGAGGTAATAGGAAGTGGTTGCTTGAGTCGTGGTAAGAGGATGAAATGTCATGGGTAGAACTAGGGAGGGGGTGGGTGACTCCCCTGAAAACATCAAAGACAAGAAAATCGAGACATTTTTCTATCTAGGGGGCAAAAAGGGATAATCCGTCTCCTTTGTTGTCGGGTTGAAGAACAACGTTATACGGTTATCAAAACGTTGCGAAAGTTTCTTCACTGGAAAAAAAAACACATTGGATCTAGAGTCCAGACTCTTAAAAACATCGACAAGAAAAAATACTCTCGAACCAATCAGATTTAAGCTTCAATCAAGAACCAAGCCTCTTAATTTGAGCGGATTTCCTTTTGATTTAAGCTTAAATCTGATCGAATCATGAGTCCTTTTTTTCGTCAATGTTTTCAAGAGTCTGGACTCCAGATCCGATGTGTTTTTTTCCCAGTGTTTAATTTAATATCCCCTCAGCTTGGCAGTGCACCCCCTTCAAAAAAAATAGACCAGGATCAACTGGTCACGTCGTTCGTCATATCGATTGAATATATCGAAGTCCGTGATCAAGAATCCGCTCTACTACCAGTTTCGACCATGCGGGTAGTAATCCAAGAGGCTTAGCAGTAGGGGTAGTTAGGGCAGGCGGCAGCGGGGACTCCAGCGGGGTACTCCCTTGCGACGTAGCCGGCCGGGGCGGCGGCGGATCCGCAGAAGGGGTAGTTGGGGCAGGCGGCGGCGGGGACTCCGGCGGGGTAGGAGCGGGCGACGGGGGCGGCGTAGGGCAGACCGCCGTACAGGGCGACGACGGTGTTGTCGCAGTTGGGGTAGTTGGGGCAGGCGGCCGGGTTCAGACCGGCGGGCCACTGTTGTGCTTGGGCTAAAACTACAGCCACCAATGCGGAGAGGACGACCTGTGGACAGAGGAGAAAAAAAACCGGGGTTAGAATGGAGATGTTGCATGTGTGAGAAATTTGCGATATCACTGTTGATTCTTGTGTAAAGGTTTGCGAGAAACACGATGGTGCACCTGGTTTTCTCTGAAATCCACTCCCAAGCTGGTGTACACTCCAGCAGGCGGCGCAGTGTAGGCAATTTACGCATCGGAGTGTATGCGTAACGGTGTAGTGTTTGAAGTATCTCTAGGATGTCGAAGGCGCTATATAAGGTACGCACGGACGAGCCTTCGATTGCCCGCGACAATGGAGATATTGCATGTCGACGGTGAAACTACCAGACCACGTATCTCGTTTGCGGTGTTTAAAAATCTACGCTCACATTGTATTTTTTAGAAGTAGACCAAATCAATATCATTCCTTGAAATTTTCACGGAATTTTCTCCGCACAAAGAGGAAAAATCACAGAAATTTTCAAGACTGCATGTTAAGTAGTTTTTCATTTAAAAAATAAAGTATGACAGGAAGTCTGCGACGTCGCAAGCCGAGATACGTGGTTTGGTAGTTTCACCATCGATGTGTGAGGAATTCGCGATTTGACTGTTGATTCTTATGTAAAAGTTTGCGAGAAACACGAGGGTGCAACTGGTTTTCTCTGAAATCAACTCCCAAGCTCAAAAAAAGCTCTCAAGTTGAGGCCAAAACGGAAGGGATATCCCACGCTATCCTGAGAGTCCACTTCTACATCAATACAAACTCTCAATGCAAAGATAGGGAGCAAATACATTGACAGGACTGCCACTCTATTTGGGGACTCCAAAACTGAAAACATGGCAACCCTGCTAATGTATTTGCTACCCATCTTTGCATGGAGAGTTTGTCTTGATGTAGTGCTGATTCAACACTTCAATTGCTAAAAATAGTGAGAGCAATGTTTCAACGCAGATTTTATAACAAAAAAAAAATGCTACTTTAACCACATTGTAAACTAATTTAACCACGGAGGTGCTTAAAGTAGCATTCTTTTGTTGTAAAATCTACGTTGAAACATTGCACTCACTGTTTTTAGCAATTGAATTGTTGAATCAGCAATTTTTTTCCCCGTGTTGTTTTTCGCGGGGTTCTCCATGAAAAGAAGTACTTCGATCGAAATCATGCATCTCGCGAGAGCTTTATCCATTTAAAGTTCCTGTCTGAAAACACCACTGGTTAAAACGCAATCAGAGCATGGAACATAGGAAGTAAAGGACTCAACAAGCCAAGTTCAACGATATCCATCCATCATCGGACAAGGTGTAAACGAGACAAACGGGACGTCCGCGGATGTCCGCCCCCCAGCGGAACATCCTTCTTGACTAGCTCGACAACACAGTTGCCAAATTTCCTCTTCAGATTTTGATTAACCTCCATGACTTCGCGTTGGCAACCGTTGAACATTTAAGGTGATTCGATGGACGTCATATTTTGTGTCAGAACGGCATGCGATATATCGCATACCGTTCTGACACAANGTACCTGAATTTGGGCAAAAATCAACCTAAAATACTTTGTTTCCGCAATTTTATTTATTAGTTCCCGCCCTACATTTGAATTCAAACTTGTCCCGATTTCGCCGCCAATCCTCTAGCCAATAGTAGAGGTGATTGAAAAGAAGCTCTAGAAGCTTCATTTTTTGCTTTTAGTGCTCCGTCTTTATGTCTTTGGTTGAAACATTGCACTCACTGTTTTTAGCAATTGAATTGTTGAATCAGCAATTTTTTTCCCCGTGTTGTTTTTCGCGGGATTCTCCATGAAAAGAAGTACTTCGATCGAAATCATGCATCTCGCGAGAGCTTTATCCATTTAAAGTTCCTGTCTGAAAACACCACTGGTTAAACCACGATCAGAGCATGGAACATAGGAAGTAAAGGACTCAACAAGCCAAGTTCAACGATATCCATCCATCATCGGACAAGGTGTAAACGAGACAAACGGGACGTCCGCGGATGTCCGCCCCCCAGCGGAACATCCTTCTTGACTAGCTCGACAACACAGTTGCCAAATTTCCTCTTCAGATTTTGATTACCCTACATGACTTCGCGTTGGCAACCGTTGAACATTTAAGGTGATTCGATGGACGTCATATTTTGTGTCAGAACGGCATGCGATATATCGCATCAATTGGTTCCATTTTCTCAGCTACTCGTCATTTTTCTCCAATTTTGGAGATCGAAATTCTGTTGTCAGGAGACTAGAGCACTCACTTACCAATTTTTAACAAAGAAATTCAACGTAATAAAGACGTGGTTTTTTAGAGAGGAAACATCGCATTCGATACTGATATCGAAACTGCCCTCGAATGCGATATTTTCTCTCTAAAAAAACCACGCCTTTGTTACGTTGAATTTCTTTGTTAAAATTGGTGAGTGAGTGCTTTAGTCTCCTGACAACAGAATTGCGATCTCAAAATTGGAGAAAAATGACGGGTAGCTGAGAAAATGGAACCAATTGATGCGATATATCGCATACCGTTCTGACACAAAATATGGCGTCCATCGAATCACCTTAAGATCAGTATCAGAGCTGGCAACAGGCGCTTTCAATGTGACGGCTCAAATGATGTTACTTTTGCATCATAGTTGAAGGAACATGTGTTGAGTCCACACACTTGTTCCTACAACACTGTAGACTGTCGAGTTAACTCGAATAACTAAGAAAAACGCCGTTCGGTCGCTCGATCATTGTAACGTCTGATGGAGGCAAAGGAGCCGTGCAACAAAACTGCGTTTTACGATGAGGAATTATTATGATTTCAGATTCATCTCAGAAATAAGGTATGCGATCATTAGTTGCCGTGTTCAGGTTAGTGGAATAAAGCTGGGTCAGCACTATTTTGAGGGGACAAAGCCTGGACGAATATTTCAAAAAAATATCAGCAAAGGCAAAAAAAAATTGAAGTATGATGAGTATCAGTGTAAGATTAAGGGGAAAAAAGGATGGGACTAATAGAGTTTACTTTTTTTTACTTGAATTATTTTTTTTTTAAAATTGTTAATTTTTGGCCTTGAATCCCCTGCAAAATAGTGTGGACCCAGCAGTACTCTACCAGCCTCTTACTTACGGTTCGGATTCCTTATAGCAGAGGCGGATCCAGACATTTGGCAACACCGAATCTCCTCCATTATTATGCTAAATAATCGATTCTTGACGGAGCACCTGGCCCCTCCAAGAATCGATATATTTCCGTAGGTTTGAATGGAGGAAATCCAGTGTTGCCAAATTGCTGGATCCGCCAATGCCTTCTAGAGAATATATCTATGGCTAAGGTGCAAAACCACGTATCTCCATTGCGATGTTTCAAAATTTCCGCCCCTACCTTATTTTCTCGGAGAGAAACTATGCGACTTCATAAACCAAATTTACACAGACTATTCTGCTAACAGAGAAGAAAAATCAAAGAAGTTATCAAAAAATTATCTTGAATAATTTCCCAATGAAAGACAAAGTATGGAAGGAAGTCTGTAAAGTTGCAAACGGAGTTACCTACGTGGGTTCCCACCTTGGCCATCGATTTGTGCTTCAGAGTGAATTATAAGAGGCTTTAAATTTCCAACATTCACTCTGAAGTTTCAATCTAGGTAGCCGTTTTTTAAAAATACGAAAACAAAGTATCGAAAATCATCGAGTAGAAATAGTAAGGTTGATTTAATTGGATAAGTGCCTTAACGCGTGCTTTGCGATACATCGATTGATCTTCCGTTTCAACCAATGGGAAATAATCGATAGACAGTGTGTTCGCAACGATCACTTTCTTAATCGATTCTTTACCGCAGCTTCAAATAGGGAAATATCGGTAATCGATCATTCACGTCTCGCGTTGCTTAACGCCTACTGTGACTGAATAAAGAGAAAAAAAACCTGAGGGTGCCTCAATAGGTATTCTTCAGGGGCATTAATGAGGAGCCAATTAAATCGTAAATTCTCGCGTGAGGTACAAACTTGTTTCGATCTGATTGAGACCATTACTTCTAAAATAAAAGCTAGGCGCGAATACCAAAAGCCTTTTAAAAAGACGGCTCTTGAAATTCCCCGTTGGGCTGGACGAAGTGGCGCCTCTTCAGCGCGTGCCAAAATACAAGGTCATCGAATACAACAAGCTCATTTTCAGATGAGCTCCAATAAGCGGGTATTTTTACGAATTTCACGGCTCATCCGGAAACTGAGGTTCTGACTTTTATCAACGATCGGCTCAAGTTCAGATCAGAATAGAACCAACAGCGAGAGTTGCCGATTTGAATTATTTTCCCCTAAAAAGTTCGAACGAAATCAGTGGTGAGGCGTGAATGATCGACCATCGATACATCTCCATTTGAAGTTGCGATGAAGAATCGATTATTAAGGAAAACCTTGTTTATCGATCCTTTTTCGTGGGTTTAAATGGCAGATCAATCGATATATCGCAGAAAACACCGTCCGCTATGCGAAATGAAACAATTTACAATCCCGGTTGGAGGCGCTGAGGACTAAGTGAAGTGATCAAAGCGAAGAAACATTTGCATTTAAATCGAATGAGAAGAATCGGTCCCCTCGCAGGGAGATGTTCGCATCAATAACTTACGTAAATTGATTGAGGAGCTGGTCGAGAGTAACATGAAAAAGAACAGGTTCGATAGACTCGTTTTTTAGGATGAAGAGGGGGAGAAGAATTCAAGTCGAAAATTATTTTCTACGATCAACAACTTTTTCATAGCGATTTGTTTTCTGACGCGAGGGACCTGCTCGGTTTTTTTAACTGATCGACCATTTTTTCTTCTTTTTTTTTTAGCGTGCGGTCACTTTTTTCAAAGAAGAAAAAACGATAATTAGTGACTTTTCCCCTCTTTTATTTTTCACGGCTCATTAATTTAAAGTGCGTTGATGCATGCAAATTGAGTTTCCTTTTCATTCAAACGTAGATTCTTTATCAATCGAGTTGCTGAGAGTTTCCTCTCATTTGCATCCTCGCTTTTTTGAAGTGGCTCTGTGTACGCGAAAACTGTTGAGGTTGAAAAATCCATTTGATTGTCAACATTGATTCAATGTGGCTCATCAATTATGGCTCCGTCTTGCGACTCGAGTGTGAAATACTTAATGAAGGCAATACATTCCTCGACAAGAACCTTGGTGGACATTTGAGAGGCTATCAACAGAAACACGTTCAGTGATTCGCGGTGTTGAAAAATTCAAAACTTGATCACTTCCCTCAAAAAAGTATCGACTAATTAATGATTTCGAATGAGACATTTTTAAATTTCTCTAAATTGCATCAAAATTATTGCGAAAGAATTTAAAAAAAAAAAAAAAAAAAAAAAAAAAAAAACTATTAATGGTACCTTAGAGGAGACTGGGGCGGCTACTATAGGTAGTGCACAAAGCGTATGGTAAAAAAGTAGGTGTGAAAGATAAAACGAATCCAACCTTTCAAAAGTACAATACGCGATTACGAATTATTTTAAAAGAGAATATATTTTAAAAAAGTGAATTAAAGCTGGTGATCGAAGCTGGTTCCTCCTTTATTTCTTTTTAAGTTAGAGAACTCTATTCGGAATTTTATTCAGTTCACCAGGAAATTTTAAGAAAAAGTATTCGTAATATTTCTGAAAAACAACTCGTATCGGAAAAAAATTGACAACGATTCGCTTCCGATGCGGTGTTTTTTTTTTCTCAAAACGGCAGGACGTAAAAAAGCGTAGACTTTTTAAGACTCTTTCTCGTTTACATAAGTTAGAAATGGTTACAGCGCAAAACAATTTTACGCCGCTGAAATATGATGCGACCTTGAGCGACCTTTAGCGACGAGCCTCAAAGCTCACAGGATCAAAAATCAGAGTATGAATGCAAGATCGGATGTAGTTCGCGCTCTAAAGCAATCAAGCACGGAGGAGAGTACTAAATAAATGCATGCATTCGCTCGGACAAAATAAATATCTTCTTGAATAAAATCTAAAGGCAGTAAAATTTTAAGTACTTGTACTAAAATGTAGCGTAATTTGCATTCATGGCGAATGCACCAATTTACATATGCACCTATGCAGCGGCAGCGTGTTCTTAAATGAGGCAGTTGCGAACCTTTGCTGGAGCAAATAAAAAAGTCGTTATACAGGGTGATCCAAAAGTCCCATGCCAACCCTCCAACCCTTGGGACTCTTGCCCCTTCTCAGGGTGGTCCCTTAAAAATTTGGGGGTTAACCCCCAAGCCTTTGAAGGTGTTAAAATTGGTACCCTCCTCACCCACCTTATAGTTTTGCATTTTTTGACACTGAGGTCTATCCCTTAAGGGACTACGTAGACATATTTTTTAGTTCTCCGTTTGTAATTCAGAGGAACCTCGGGGACTTAAACGCAACACGAGAAAAAAAGGCAAAAATCAAATCTGTAGTCCTCTGAGTATTGATCTAGGAAAAATATATTTTGGAGATTTTGACGAAACACAGAAAAAAGGCAAAAAGCAGGTCTATAATCTCAAGATTTTTGTTTTAGGAAAAATATAGGTTTTGGAGAATTGAACGGAGCATAGAAAAAAAGCGACTGTTTCTTAATCGGATTTTCGTTCTGGGGAAGTCAATATTATTTGAAGACCTCAACATAACGCAGAAATGACGGAAATAGCGGACGTAAAGTCCTCCGATTCTCGCTCTGCGAGCCGATTATTGACATTGATAGATAAAGCTACGGACAAAGAAGACTAAAGGTATAGGAAGGTATCCTATTGGTGGAAACGGGTGGTTGAAAGGGACAAAGGATAGACTCACTAATTTTCGGCAACCGTCAGGAACAGTTAGTTCTCCGTTTTTCCCCTTAGTCTGTAAGAACCATCCCTTTCAAGCGATGGGACCGCTCCATACTTCCTATGTCTTCTTTGTCTATAGCTTTGTCTGTAAATTTCAAAAATCAGCCCGTCGGGTATGCTTAGAGACTTAAAGCGGCATAGATATAAAGGCAAAACCGGACCTTTAGTCTTTTGATATTCCTTCTGCAGAGATCGAAGTTATCTTTAGATGTAACGTGGCATAGAAAAAAGGCGAATTTAATTAATTGAAAGAAAATGCTCCTCATAATAATATTTACTTAAAAAACAAATGGATTATTTCGATCTTTTTTACTTGGGACTGGAACAAATTATTAAAAATGAGAGCGAAGTATGAAATTTAGCACACTACATTTATCCAAACCAGTACTGTTTTTATCTTTTACGTTGTGAATATTTTTCCACCTAGGAATTTGATTTTGCATTGGGAGGAGTGAATAAGGTTGAAAATATTCGATATTCCTGGACTATGTCAACGTGTGAAATATGGATCTGAATGGGTGTGCGATCGTCTTCGACCCAAACATTAAAAGCAGAAAAATTTCTGAGTCGTACCGAATATCACATATATGATTAAGTTGGCATTGGATAATCAAATTCAGCCAGGAAATTTTTTTATTAAATTGATTCTTTGAAAGTAATTTAAATATACGGAACTGTCAAGCTATAGACACCCGTAACGCAGCGTGTGGCGCACAGAAATGGCTCTCAGGAATGAACTGCGGCAGGTGAGGTGACTGAACTGTTAGAAGCTGAGACTATTCAGCATACATTAGCGTCTAAAATTGTATCACTGAGGTCACAATATGAGGTCTCTTAATTTCAATGTTTTGAAGCACAAGTCTCTAGAGCCATGGCATACTAACATTGAAGAGTACTATAGATGTGTTGTAGATTTTTATGTGTTGAAAAAAAAAGCAAAAAAAAATCCTATATTCGATTCGTATTAGAAAGGCATCACGAAATTGAGTAGGTATGTGGTCCGATTCAAATTGAGATTTTTGCACATTCGTCTGTGGGGCAGTTTATTTTTTTATTCGTGTTAAAAAAGTCCAAAAATTTCAAGGAAAACATTACTAACGTTCAAATAAAACTATAGAGTAATGAAAATGTGTCAACATTCGAAAGTTCAAACGGTGTTACTCCTTAGCACGGTAGAATACTCAGGAGACTTGGGCGACAAAATTGTAAGCATTTTCATCAAAATTTGAGACAAATTTGGAAAAATTCAGTCGACCGAACTTGAGCTATGACAGCTTGATGTTTAAAGTTCAAAAAATAGTTTCACAAAAAGTGCTTAACCTGCTATGTTCGGTACGAGATTTCGTCGTTTTCCTCACGAAAAAAACGTGACTTCTGTTCAATGTTGCCAAATTTCTCTGTGCAAATTTCATTTTTACCAAAAAAATCTTGGGAATTACTAACTCAGGATCGCACCGAATTTTCCGCTGATCTTAAGGCGATTCCTCACAGCTTGTAAACAAACATCGATGAATTGAATAAATTTTGCTAAATTACACGTTTTACTTTTATATTTTTGTAAAAACAGAGATGGAACACTGAACAAGCATTCTTTGGCAGTATTTCGATGAAAAACCTTTTCCGGAAACCTTAAATTAAAGCCAAATGAGACTAAACGCGAAAGATCGCATTCGATTTCCACCAATCTCTCGTAATTCAGCGAAATGTCTTCGATATATCGATGTTTGCGTTTACAACCTAGGAGGAATCATCTTGAACAAAAATCAGGTAAAATTTTGACAAAAATTGCACGCGTATATGCCCATGTAAAAAATCGAATTGTTTGAGTCAATTTAGCAACCTCGGAGTGCAGATATACGTTCTTTTGTCCGAAAAACGACGAGTCGTCTCTTTATTATTCAACTTTAAACTTGAACACGAAAATGAACTGAACCGACGTATTCTTCAAGACACTGAGGAGAGATTTCAAAGGAGCGATATCCAGTCCATCAGGCACCTATACTGGACGGCGGAATGGAAAAAGAAGCGAAACTCACCAATTTTCCAATCATCTTGTGGTTTGTTGTGGTAACTGAAAAGACAGGAAAGCGAAACTACACACTACAGTGCTGGACCGTCGGCTGAAATCCGCGAAATTTTCAGACTGTCCACTGATCCGACGCTTATATACGAAGAATTTTCCCGCGATTAAGCGGGCACCCCTCCTTCTCTCCTCCCCCTATCACACCCTCGGAGAGATGCTGAAGCGGACCCGCCCTTGGCTACTAGCGGTCAGTTTTTCCGCTGACAAGACCGTGCGCGGTGGGGCTCCGCTCCTATGCGGACGGTCTGTCTTGCGGGGTGCCTACCTATCAGGAGACTTAGCACTTTAGTGCTTTCGTTGGAGTGGAAGGTCGGTGGTGTAACTGGAGAGCCGCAGATTGATGGCAAAAGTTTCAGCAGGGTTGCCACAAAATTTAAAAAATGAATTTCCCTGACACTTTTGAGTGACATTCCCTGACAATATAAGTTATGTCGTACGGCTAAAAAGACAGTATTTGAAACAGTTTCCGGTCAATATTTGTTGTTCTAAACGTCAAATCCACTAAGGAAAGCGAGCAAAGGTAAATTTAAAAAATTCCCCTAACACTTTCGTCGTTTTCCCTGACATTTCTAGGTTTTTCCTGACTTGTCAAAATTCCCTGACATTTCCCGGTTTTCCCTGACAGTAGCAACCCTGTTAAAAAGTGTGTACCTCCGTTTGTGGCGTTTTAGATAGAATCGTTAATTTCGAAAAAGGGCAAACTCTGAATAAATGTTTCAGGTGAAAAAAAACTATACAGGATGTGAAAAATTAAATACAGAAAAGGGACTCGAGTTATACGGGATCAAATATTGAACAATTTTTTTTAGTGAAATTCGGCTTAGACCGTACCTCCGTTTGTAACGTTTTTGATTGAATCGTTAATTTTGAAAATGGGCAAACTCTGATGAACAGAATTTTTCAGACGAAAAGAAACATCCTGGATGTGAAAAATTAAATACAGAAAAGAGACTCGAGTTGAAGGCGAATTTGTGGGATCGAATATTATAATATTTTTTAGTGCAATTCGGCGTATACGGTACCTCCGCTTGTAACGTTTTTTATTGAATCGTTAATTTTGAAAATGGGCAAACTCTGAAAAACAGAATTTTTCAGGCGAAAAGAAACATCCTGGATGTGAAAAATTAAATACAGAAAAGGGACTCGAGTTGAAGGCGAATTTGTGGGATCGAATATTATAATATTTTTTAGTGCAATTCGGCGTATACGGTACCTCCGCTTGTAACGTTTATGATTGAATCGTTAATTTTGAAAATGGGCAAACTCTGAAAAACAGAATTTTTCAGGCGAAAAAACAACATCCAGGATGTGGAAAATTAAATACAGAAAGGGGACTCGAGTTGAAGGCGAATTTGTGGGATCGAATATTATAATATTTTTTAGTGCAATTCGGCGTATACGGTACCTCCGCTTGTAACGTTTATGATTGAATCGTTAATTTTGAAAATGGGCAAACTCTGAAAAACAGAATTTTTCAGGCGAAAAAACAACATCCAGGATGTGGAAAATTAAAAACAGAAAAGGGACTGGAGTTGAAGGCGAATTTACGGGATCAAATATTATACTATTTTTTAGTGAAATTCGGCTTATACCAACTTTGCGCACAAAAAAGCCGTCAGAGGTCGAATAGCAAAGAGAGAGGAAGAAGAGGAAGAAGAAAAGAGGGAGGGAGAAGAAGAGAGAGAGGAATAAAAAAGGAAACAGAAAAAGAAGAGAGAGAGAGGAATAAAAAAGGAAACAGAAAAAGAGAAGATAGAGAGAGGAATAAAAAAGGAAACAGAAAAAGAAATAGAGGAGAGGAAAAGACAAACATGGAGAAGAAGAGGAGGAAGAGAAAGAGAGGAATGATTTTTTCTTTGTCTTTTTCTCATTTCCCTTCCTCTTCCGATTCGGTGGACGAAGAAAAGAATTTTAGGTATCTCCAGTACCAAACTAGGGTTAAAGTTTCATAAAAATTGAGTAGGAAGAAGTAAAATAAATTCTTCTTCACAGTGGCACTAATTTTCTTGTCTTATTTTCTGACAACCTGCTGGCAGAAAGCATACCTGCTCGTTCAAAATTAGATTTGCTTCGCATTTTGATCAACCTGCGGGATTTTATCCCTCGAGGATACAAAACCGCGAAATATTTGGACGTGCTTATGCTTAAAGGAACTATGTACATAAGGTTTGCGTGTAACATGGTTCCTTTCAGCATAAATACGTCCATTTAGAGGCTTTGCATCTTGTCGAGCGAGGTCGATTAATCTCCCGTAACGACTTTTCTTGACGTCCGCAAAGAGAGCAAATACATTGAGACCATCGATTGGGGTGAACGAGGAATGAAGGAAAATGGACCGAACAAGACAGGATGCTCCTTGTGAATTGAACAGCATTACGCAATACTACCTTGCTAAGAAGGAACGCCGTATGAGCCTCCAGCCGTTGCCAAATTTCCCACGATAAACGAATTTCAGGGGAAACCTAAAAAGACAAAATTTTTTCCAACTTCCTAGAAAATTTTATTCGCAATCGCAATTGAATATAAGGATTGCATTTTTCAAATAAGGACCAGGAGCATTCCAATGTCGCTAAGAATGTGCAAATTTTTTCACTCTGCTAATAAAAACTGATCATCGAAACAAGTTCTATCTATATACTCACAATAATCGACAAATTCAAGACGAAATTACCTTCGAGTATTGCCATCTCTGTGCCGCTTACTGATTGGTTCTTGGTTCATCAGTTTTAGGCTATTGTGGAGCTCCAAAAATTGGCCCAATGTAAACAAACCCGATCCAGAGGAACAAGTTCTATCGGTTGAAAAATGATTGATAATCACACTCAAAGCTTAATTTTCGGGAAAAATATTCATCAAAGTTCGATCCGAACTCAATTTAGAAGTTGCATATAAAAAAATGTGTGTCATATCCAAAATCACGTCTAGAACTTTATTACTATTTTGTTTGTTTACATTGGGCCAACTTTGGGGCTCCATAACAGCCGACCAATCAGAAAGCGGCACACTTTTTCAGTTGTAAAAAGATTGGGATGGCAATACTCTTCCTTATTCTCAATCCGTACTCTAGTAAATTTAATTTTTTGCACGATTTCAGTATTTTATTGCAAAGAATGTAAGTTGCACAATCCTAGCAACAAGCAACATTAATGGAATGCTCTTGGTTTCTTTTTGCAAAATCCAATCCATATAGTGTCTAAAAATTTCAGGGAGAAACGCTCATAACTGTGCTCAAAAATAAAGATTTCATCGAGGGAAATTGGGCAGCGTCTGAATGTTCATACGATGTTTATCCTTAGCACGGCATAGTTGGAAAAACTGCCGTGTTACTAAAGAGAGCAGTAACTCCACTCCAGAAATGAAGTTTTAAGAAAATGAACCTGAAGGTGTTTGAGCGGAAAATTCTTACGACAAGTCCTCCGGTCTTCGCAGAACGGTCCATAAATGGGCGGTTTACGCGGAGTTAGTGGTTAAAAAAATATGCAGTGCATACGACCACAAGTGCCGGAGTGAATGAATCTGGGCAGTGGTGATGAACTCTGCACTCAAGGAAACAATGAACGCGTGAGAAAAGCTAGTTAAGAGGGGACGGCGTGTTTATTACGAGTTCATTTAACTCCGAATGATTTGAGGTGCACATGATTTTAACTTGCACTAAATGGATGAACTCCTAGATTTTTCCATGGTAATCAAACGAAAAACTCATAGAAATTATTTGGGCGATTATAAATAAACGAAAATTACACTTAACTGCAAAAAAAGGACGTGTTTATTTTATAATAGGCATGACAGCCGTATGCGCCATCCTGTACATTGGGGAATTACGTTTATATACCATAAGTGCATATGACGAAACGTACATCGTTCTTTATGTGGAATTTGCCATTAAAATCAGTTATCAATTCGCAAATCCCAGGACCTTGCAGCAGGCCAATTGGCGCCAGGATTGGTGACTCCTTGTCATAAATGAATCAGTGAGTTCGAAAACACTCTGGAAAAAAAAAATGTTCAGGAAACACCTGAAACTGCGCAACGGGCGAAGAAGTTAGTTTAAAAAAAACCTTTTTGGTGCCAAAGGACAAGTACCTAGAGACTTTGTAAAGCACCATAAGTTGAAATCGATACACCATGTTTGATGACAGAGAATTAAGCGTTTAAAAATTTCCGAGTTGGTGTGTTTTCGTTCTCACAGACTTTCAGATACTGATTTTTCATAGTCTGCCCTGACACATGTATATTTTTCGACCTGCATAGCACTTAAATATTTAACTTGTTGGTACAAGGTATACTGAACCGAAAAAAGAAAACCGCAAAATCGTGTGGTCACCCGTTTCCCTTGAAATGACCAAAAATGGGTATTTCCAATGAAATACTTCGATTTTTCCCTTTCCCCGTCGCTGTTTCGAGCACTTCCGATTGCAATTTCAAAATTTCCTTTTGCGTGCAGATGCTTCTATCCATAAGTGTTACTAAACCGTAAAAAAGTGAAAATCGAAAAAAATCCGAGTTGGTGTGTTTTCGAACTCCATGATTCAATTGCATTTCCCGTTCAAAAATGCTCCTCACATTTCTTCAAAAGTCCAAATTGTGAAATATGTTTACTTTATTAAATGCGGTGTATTTTGGGATATATGCGTAATCCAGGACTAGAAACAACTTATTCATCATTGTATAAAGCGCATTTTTACTGAGAATTCCTTTCCACATGATCAGAGCATTATTTTGTCCCTAGTTAATAAAATAATCAGAATTTCAGTCGAAGTAAGAATATTTGACTATTTGCCTAGGCATTTAACTAAATGTCTGATTTGACTATTTGCCTATGCATTTAACTAGATGCCTGATTGGACTATTTGCCTTCGATATGTCGATCGAGGTCATTCGATAACGATTCAACAATCGCGCCGCAGGTGATGAATCCCATTATCGATATAATACAAGTAAAGGGCTTCGAGAGGCTGGCAACAGGAT